TGATCCTTGGGGAACCCCACATTTGATATGGGTTCCTTGGAGAGCCACATCAATTCTTATGGAAGAAAAAATCTGTGAGATAAGAGTAAATTAATTACAGGCTTCCCTGACAAATAAAAATCAAATCAAAGGCTGCACATAGATCCAGTAACACCAACATAAAGAGTTTTTGAATATCCATTTATTGAAAGTGACAGCATCGACTTGATAGTCTGTAACCCTGGGGTGATGACGTTTAACTGGAACAAGGCCAGTCTCAGTCCATGACCAGGAGACTGGTGTGGAATGGGACTCTCAGTCATTTGAGCTGAAGGAAAGGAAACACACGTATCATTAGTTATGTTGTGCATAATTTGTCCTAAAATAAAGATGAGAGCAGAGCACCTGGTGGGCTCCACGGGAGCGTCCTGTCCCCCGCTGGGCTCCGGGGGAAGCTGGTGATGTCTCCTGAAGCTGTAGCCCATCTGCTTTAAGATCCGGCGCGTTGTGCGTTCGGAGATGGTGGTCTGTGTACCCTGGTTGTACCGCCGGGTTATTTCCGCTATTGTTGCTTTGTCGTCGTCTCGAATCAGTTTGTCCATTTTTATCTGACCCTTCACGTCAACGAGACATTTTCTTCCGCACGAATTCCGCCGCCCGGTGGTGGTTTTCTCTTTTTCGGACCATTCTCGGTAAACCCTGGAGATGGTAGTGCGTGAAAATCCCAGCAAGTCCGCTGTCTCCGAAATGCTCAGACCAGTACGTCTGGCGCCGACGATCATACCGCGTTCAAAGTCACTTAAATCCCCTTTTCTCCCCATTCTGGTGCTTGTTTCAACTTTAACAGAAACTCTTTTTATCTTCTATTTAGCTCATTATTATATTCTGTTTTGTTTTCTTCTTCTTCTTCTTCTTCTTCCTTTTTTCTTTAGTCTGTTTTCTTCGGATTTTACCGGCGGTTGTCGTCATTCTCAGGGTTACATTACATTACCGCCCTCTAGTGGTTAGTTTGGTCATTCCTGAACCCACTCTACAGCCACCTTCCATGAACAAGTTTCATATTAATGACAGGTTTCTGATCCAACTTGAAAACTAAACAGTTATGTTCACGACTCACTCACTACATACGAGTAGCTACTTTTTACAGCTTTATAATTTTATTTTATCAGTAAAAGTTTGGATTTTGGATTTATCTCAAAGGAAACCTTAGGATGTGTGGAATTCAGAGTACAGGTGCTGGCCAGTAAATTAGAATATCATCAAAAGGTTGAAAATATTTCAGTAATTCCATTCAAAACGTGAAACTTGTACATTATATTCATGCAATGCACACAGACCAATGTATTTCCAATGTTCATTACATTTAAATTTGATATTCATAAGTGACAACTAATGAAAACTCCAAATTTGGTATCTCAAAAAATTAGAATATTCTGAAAAGGCTGAATATAGAAGACACCTGCTGCCACTCTAATCAGCTGATTTACTCAAAACACCTGCAAAGGCCTTTAAAAGGTCCCTCAGTCTTGTTTTGAAGGCACCACAATCATGGGGAAGACTTCTGACTTAACAGCTGTCCAAAAGACAATCATTGACACCTTGCACAAGGAGGGCAAGACACAAAAGGTGATTGCTAAAGAAGCTGGCTGTTCGCAGAGCTCTGTGTCCAAGCACATTAACAGACAGGCGAAGGGACGGAAAAAATGTGGTAGAAAAAAGTGTACAAGCTCTAGGGATAACCGCACCCTGCAGAGAATTGTGACGACAAACCCATTCAAAAATGTGGGGGAGATCCACAAAGAGTGGACTGCAGCTGGAGTCAGCGCTTCAAGAACCACCACGAGGAGACTCATGAAAGACATGGGATTCAGGTGTCGCATTCCGTGTGTCAAGCCACTCTTGAACAAGAAACAGCGCAAGAAGCGTCTCACCTGGGCCAAGGACAAAAAGGACTGGACTGATGCTGAGTGGTCCAAAGTTATGTTTTCTGATGAAAGCAAGTTCTGCATTTCCTTTGGAAATCAAGGACCCAGAGTCTGGAGGAAGAGCGGAGAAGCACAGAATCCACGTTGCATGAGGTCCAGTGTAAAGTTTCCACCGTCAGTGATGGTGTGGGGTGCCATGTCATCTGCCGGTGTTGGCCCACTCTGTTTCCTGAGGTCCAGGGTCAATGCAGCCGTCTACCAGGAAGTTTTAGAGCACTTCATGCTTCCTGCTGCTGACCAACTTTATGGGGATGCAGACTTCACCTTTCAACAGGACTTGGCACCTGCACACAGTGCCAAAACCACCAGCACCTGGTTCAAGGACCATGGTATCCCTGTCCTTGATTGGCCAGCAAACTCGCCTGACCTTAACCCCATAGAAAATCTATGGGGTATTGTGAAGCGGAGGATGCAATACGCTAGACCCAACAATGCAGAGGAGCTGAAGACGACTATCAGAGCAACCTGGGCTCTCATAACACCTGAGCAGTGCCACAGACTGATCGAGTCCATGCCACGCCGCATTACTGCAGTTATTGAGGCAAAAGGAGCCCCGACTAAGTATTGAGTGCTATACATGCACATTCTTTTCATGTTCATTCTTTTCAGTTGGCCAACATTAGAGAAACAAACATTTTTTCATTGGCCTTTAGAATATTCTAATTTTCTGAGATACCAGATTTGATGTTTTCATTGGTTGTCACCTATAAATATCAAAATTAAACGTAATAAACATCGGAAATACATTGGTCTGTGTGCATTGCATGAATATAATGTACAAGTTTCACGTTTTGAATGGAATTACTGAAATATTTTCAACCTTTTGATGATATTCTAATTTACTGGCCAGCACCTGTATAGCCTACGTGCTAATACGTATATGTATTTATGTTTATGATTCTTACCTTAGCCCTTATTCTTCACCCTTTTTGCTCAGTTTGGCGCAAGCAAATGGAAGACAAAGTAAGAAGTGGGGCGACGGTGGCACAGGAGTTAAGTGCTCGTCCTGTATTCGGAAGGTTGTAGGTTCAAGCTCCGCTCAGTTTGTCTCTGTTGTTGTGTCCTTGGGCAAGACACTTAAACCCCCTTGCCTGCTGGCAGCCTCGCCCCTGTCAGTGCGCCCCAGGGCAGCTGTGGCTACATCGTAGCTCATCTTCACCAGCGTGTGAATGTGTGTGTGAATGAGTGAATGTAAAGTGCCTTTGGGGGTTCTAGGACTCTAGAAGGTGCTATATCAAATACAGGCCATTTATAACTGATCGTTTGACTGTGCAAAGTTACAATTCTCCATGATGTAGTTGGGAAATAATTCAAGCATGGCTTTATAAATGAAAGTGTACCATTGTCCCAACCTCCCAGTGGACAAATACCATCCCACTCGAGAGAACAATTCACAATGATGGGCCAGTGGTCTGCAGTTAGTAATAAACTTCAGTGGCATGGTAAACCACATAAATCTTACCAAGACACTGTGCTAAGGCATTCATATACAAAAGGTCTCCATAATAAACAGAAATGTTGCAGTATCTAGTCATTTTTGCCTCAAAAGAAAACAAAGTTTATTTCAAAAACAGGAAACCCAGTCTGAGTTTGAGTTTCGTCACAAGATTATCTACATGGGGTTTGAAGGTCATCGAGCCAGACACCAAGGTCTTTGTATGTGTGGACCACCTCAATGATATTTCCCTCAAGAGTCGTCAGTGAGGGCATACTTATAGATCTTTTAGTAGAGTTTGAAAACAACATTAGCTTAGTCTTGTCAGCACTGAGGAGCAATTGTAACTGCATAATTGTTTGTTGGACCTCATTATAAGCTTTCTGTAAAAATTCAACATTTTCTAAAACAATAAAAATATAACAGCGTAAAAGTGCATATTAGCATCCAACGCATTTTGTCCTATGTCATTAATTTAATTAATGAACAAGAGGGGTCCCAAAACTGAACCCTGTGGTGCGCCCTTGTGGACACTCAAAAATTCATCACATTTAACGCATTGAGTTCTGTACTTCAAGTAGTCTGCGAACCATGAGATTGCATGTTCAAACAATCCCAAACAAAGAAGCTTTTTAAAAGATCATGGTCTACAGTGTCCAAGGCCTTTGACAGATCAATAAACAGTGAGGCTGCATTTTATCCTGAGCAACAAGTATGTCATTGATCACCTTTGTAGCTGCCGAGATGGTGCTGTGTTTTTTTCTGAAACCTGATTGCAGACATGAGAGAAGGTCATTTGAATATAAAGTATTTCAATTGCTTACTTACTAGGGTCTCTAGAATTTTGCCAGGACACACAGATTAGATTTTGGTCTGTACTTTATTATTAGGGCTGGGTCACCACCTTTCAGTGAAGGAGTCACAAAAGCAGACTTCCAAACTGATGGTTTGTTTTTGTTAGAAAGGGTAAAAATAACTGTAAGAGTCTCTGCTATGAAATCAGCAGCCATTTTCAAAAATAGGGTTCTATCTGGACCAGAGGGTTTTCTGGGATCCAGAGTTCTAATAATTTTATTCACTTGCTCTATAGTAAAACGGAACAAAATAAAATAAACGTCAGGGGTCATTTGGGAATCGGTGCAGGGGGGGCACAGGGGGTGTTCCAGTTGAAGTACACAATGAACCAGATGAGCTTGAATGCTCATTAAAACTTAAAGCTCAGCTTTATCATGGGACAAAGTCGAGGACATAAAAATAATAATAGTAAAATAACCAAAACGAATAAAAAACTCCCGTTTTAATCGAGGCAAAAACGAACAGCAACTTTTGGGAAATGTAGATACAATATCCCCAAAAAATAACATTTCCATTTTGTTTTACATAAAAAAATGTTTGACTCGTTACGTAGAAATTTAGCCGATTCGACAATTTATTTTGCGCACATTACTTCAATAAAAAACTAAATAAAAAGTGGTGGAATCATAAGTATTTATAATTATAAACAATACAATGATTATATGTATCCAAAAAATTAAATTTGGACTTTTGTAAAAATAATACCGATAAATAAATTCAGTCGAATCAGCTTCCGGTGTTCGTCAGATTGGTCAACAACACCCAACGTCACTTCTTGTCAGTTCAGGCGGGATAAATGAAATCCGAGATGGGACGCGTTTTGTTTTTTTTTACTTTTGTAGCTAAAACGCCCCGAATCTAATCGTTTAAATACTTTAAATAGGCACATTATACTAGTTAGTTATTAAACCAAAGCCAGGTTAGCTTCTTTGTTTACGTTGCTCCACGGTACCGATCTCTGACGTTGACGTGATGGAGCGACCGTCACGGTGAGGAGACACGTCTTAATACCAGTTCTGTATATATGTATATATAAATATATAAATGTTTTAACCGATGTTTACTTACAGAAAGACAAAGGCTGTGAATTATTCTGAAAGCAATGACTTTGACGATGGTAAGAAAATCTTCACTTTACATTTCCCTCACATTTATCTCCAAACCTTTGTTTATTTACTGTTACAGTTTAGTTTTTGTCAACTTCCCTTTCTGGTTGTTGTTGTTTTTAACTCACCAGATTTTATTTATGTCTATTAAGAACGATCAAGTGTAAACAAAAACAAATTAGTGTGATTATGTCTCTAACATTGTTTTAAAAAATAATGGCTATCAATAGGATTACCTTCTGTTTATTTACCAAAAAAAGGTGTTCATTCTATTCCTATTCTAATTAGTGACGGGCTTTGAAAGGGTTGTCGTTTATTTTCTTGATCAAAATCTTCATATCAGAGACCAGAACTTGTTTTGTTCATATTAGCAGAACCTCAGAAATTAAACAATACACTGTTTTTGAATATTTACTGGTTCAAAATAAAATACAAAAAAACCTAAATGTGTCTTAAAAATAGATAATTAAAAATAAAGACTCTGAGAAGTGTCTTTAAGTAATTTTAACAGGTCTAAGTGAAACAGAATAATTAAAAAACTGATTTCGCCTTTTGGGGGACACCGCTCGTCAGGAGGATCCATTAAAATGATCAGGTATTCCACTGCTGAGGGTCAGCAGCTGCCCCCAAAACAACAGGATACATTTTCAGTGAGCTACATAGTTAAAACTTTAGTTCTGGGATGTATGCTAGGTGCGTGCTAGGGTGGAAGATACTCTCTGAAGGCCCAGATCTTCTAGGGACGCCCCTGTTCCGGTAGCTCTCAGTAGGTCATTCCACCATCCTGGAAAGCCACAGGAAAAGAGTTTATCGTTAGTTTTCTAGATTCAGTTCTGGAATTTGTGGACTCGCATTAATAGAGTAGAAAAAAGTCAGCATATCAGTGTCCACTGGTATGAATAGAATTTAGACAAAGCTGCTCAATCCCGGAGCTCAGAGATTGATTACACCATGCTGTGAATGCACAAACTCGTATAACTGTCGAGATGAGTCGTAAGCTTGGAACTTTGGCTGAGATTCAGACTCTGGTACAGAAGGTGATTCGATCAAGGAGAGAGTTGACGGATCTGGGATAGATTAATTACGCCATTATTGGAGAGGTTGAGGACCAACGGAACTTTAAGGCAGAGAGGAAATTATTTCTGTCTGGCCCCAAAACAAGTTCTTATCTGAATCTGGTGCCCTTGAGCCTGTGAGGCTGAAGTGAATACTCCCCCCTCAGAAGAAATGTGGAATGCTGCCTTTGCCATGGCAACTCTGCCTCCCTATCCCAGCCTGGGCGGGACTGCGACTGGTGAAGGCCGTTGAATCGTTTCCAGGAGTCACTGGGCTTTCTAAACCCAAATACCTCCCTCCCCTGTCCAAACGGAGGTGACGAGCGCTGCTTATCGCGGCTGCATGCACTGATGTGTGGAGAGTCCCCAACCCTACCTCCCCACCTAGTGGACACATATGTTGTGTGATGTCTGAAGTCTGTTGCATTTCTGTCTGAGGTGTTTTTTGCATAGCTACGCTGCCCTCCCTGTGGAGGGTAGCTCTGAAGTGCCTTTTTTTCCCTCCACCTGAACCAATCCTCATGTAAACCCTCTGATCTCTATTAAGGCAGCGTGACTCGGGTTGCGAATGACCACAGTCACCAATTCTTGTCATGTGTCTTTACCTATGTATGTATGTCTGATGTCTGAATTGTGTGTACTGAAACTCTAATTTCCCTCTGGGATTAATAAAGTATCTTTGAATTGAATTGAATTATGTTTTGTTCCTTTGTGTCAAAACATCAGGGTCGTCAGTAATTTTATGGTAGTGAGAGGGACGGGCATATGTGAATAAAGAGTTTGTTCTCCATCTTCATTCTGTTTCAGATGAAGATTTTGCTTCTGTGAAAGCACCACCGAGCAAAAAGCACAAGGAGGACATGAGACAGGAGCAGAAGAAATCTTCAACCAAGTCCGTCAGTCAGGAGAGCGACTCAAAATCAACAGAGAGTGAGAAGAGCAGGTGGGTGACAGGCTTGGTCCAAAAAGAACAGCGTTAAGAAATGTATTTATTTTATTTAACCAGATGAGTCGATTGAGAACTCATTCTCATTTACGACGACGATCTGGCCAAGAGGCAGCAGCAACAGACACACCGTTAGCTTAACAAGATAAACAGATGAAACGGTTAGACATAAAGACAAAGGACTCACTCAGTATGTACAAGCAATCAAAACAGAGTTAAACAACCTTGAAGTACTCAGAAGCAGGCGCGCTGATCAGAAACTATTGATTGCAGGTAGATAATGGAATGAAGGTTGCGTGCTTCGGCGATTTTTGCTGCTCATTCAGTCGTTGGAAGCTGCAAACTGGAATGAGGAAAATTCATTAAAAAATACATCAAACTTGTATAGCGCTTGTTTTGGGCACTGCATGCACTCTCACATTCACACACTGCTGGTGATGATAAGCTACCATGTAGCCACAGCCGCCCTGGGGCGGTCTAACAGAGGCGAGGCTGCCATCTGGCGCCTTCGGCTCCTCTGACCACTACCAAGGACACAGCAGCAGAACACCCCTGGTGGGAGCTGGAATCGGACCCACGACCCTCCGATCATGAGGCAACCCGCTCTTCCACCTGAGCTACTGCTGCCCAAGTGATTCATTTTTTTACTAACCAATTTAATTTTATTTCTATGAGTAAGAAAGAACTTTTTTTTTATCAATCTGTGGAGATTTGAGAGTAATTCTGTGGATGTTTGTTTATTTTGCCTTTAAATAAACATTCTATCAAATTTCTCACCTGTTTCAGTGAGCTAACCGGGTGAAGTGGGGAGGGAGTTGTTAAATAGCTCAGAGAGTTAAAACGTAGTGGACTTGTGTGGTGGAGTCTGTGGATGTTTGGATGAAGGATCACTAGCTATGTGGCATTATTTCACTTTTAGTCACAAATGAAACCACAAGCTGTTCCAGAGTTCTCCATCATGCTTTAGATGCATTTACTGCAGAGAATTCAAACAAAGGTGTAAACTTTTCTACATGAACTCATTTTGTCAGAAAACCACTGGATGAAAAGTTGTACGAGAGAGATCTAGAAGCAGCCATCACACTTTCCTTACTCAACAACGCAGAGGGAATAAAGGAGGCTCCCACCAGCAAAGGTGTGCTTTGTCAAGTGATTTTATGTTCATAAACGGTTGCAGATAGATTTTTAAAATATTTTTTCTGCAAATTCTAACCTGCAGATCTCCGAGCTAAAAACCCCATAGATGAAAACACCGATCCATTTTCTCTTCCTATCTCCAACTGCAGTGTGGACGGAGCTGTTATGGGTAAATTCTCCTTTTCTGTTGCCTGTATACACATCTAAGCAGTGTAAAAATTATGGTTATGTTTATGTATTTAGCAGACGCTTTTGTCCAAAGCGACTTACAAGTGATAATCGGCATGTTGCCCTTGAGGCTAACAACAACAATTACAACAACAACTTGACATCAATCATGGAGAGGAGGGAACAAGGAGTGGACAGTAGAGAGGGGGACGGGTGCAGGGAGGGTGCTAGTTAAGAAGATGCTCTCTGAAGAGCAGGGTCTTCAGGAGTTTCTTGAAAATTGAAAAGGAAGCCCCTGTTCTGGTAGAGCTTGGAAGGTCATTCCACATTTGTGGAACGATGCATGAGAAGAGTCTGGATTGTCTTGAGTGTGGTGTGGGCTCTGCTAGCCGACGATCCTGTGATGACCGGAGCGGCCGGGCCGAGACGTAAGTCTTTGCAAGATGATTCAGGTAGATGGGAGCCGTACCATCTCGGACTTTGTATGCTAGTGTTAGCAATTTGAATTTGATGCCTGCTGCTAGCGGTAGCCAGTGGAGCTCAATGAACAGAGGGGTAACGTGTGGTCTTTTTGGCTGATTGAAGACCAGACGCGCCGCTGCGTTCTGGACCATTTGAAGAGGTCTCACAGTACAGCCTGGAAGACCAGTTAGAAGAGCATTGCAGTAATCGAGGCGGGAGAGGACAGTAGATTGCACCAGGAGCTGGGTGGCATGTTGTGTTATGTTTGGGTAAATTGCCTAAAATTGTGAAACTGCCAGGCTTTTGACGTTCCCAGTGCAGTCAAAAGAGCATGCCTAAGAATTGTTTTGTTTTTTAGCTTGTGGATCTTCTTGATAATTTGATAACTTTTATCTTCAGGCTTGAACAAAATCACTTCAGAGAAAGGATCACCGGTTTCTGCCAAGCGGAGAAAAGCTTCCCCCAAAGCTGCTGAGGTACAAAGAAAAACGGATGAAGATGAGGACTATCAACCCAAACTGACCCCAGGTAATGCTTTTATTTATATACAGTAAATATCAATTCATTAAAAAATGTTGAGTTTGTGCTGTCTAATGTTGTTCCCACTAAAATCTAAACCATCAGTGCCACCATAAAGGTGGAATAAGATGTTTTTCATGATTTTCTCGCCGGTTGCTGAATGTGCAAAATTCAGTGGTCCCCCCCATTTTTCAGGCTTCTCAACAAGGGCCTTAAAGGAGGGGGGGCTGCCTTATTTCCCAAAGTAGTGCACCAACGTCACCGTATGAAAACTTAGAATGCCAGCTAATATAGTGTGGTGCTTTTATTAGGGATGTCCCGATCCGATCACATGCTCGGAAATCGGCCCCGATCACGTGGTTTCAGACTCGATCGGGACTCGGACTTTACTTCCCGATCCAAGCCCCGATCCAGACTCGGATACTGGGTTCAAATTACAGGAGAGCAACTTGGTTCTCCTTAAAGGTTGTCAGGCTCCCCTGATGCCCTTAACTTCCACACCCAGAAGGAGCACAACAAAGATCCAGTTTCTACCTTTATTATATTATATTATATTATATTATATTATATTATATTATATTATATTATGTTATATTATATTATATTATATTATATTATATTATATTATATTATATTATACTATATTATATTATATTATATTATATTATGTTATATTATATTATATTATATTATATTATATTATATTATACTATATTATATTATATTATATGGACTCAGCGTCACGGGGATTCTTTTGAGCAGAGCAGCAGGCAGACCGCTGATTATTCATGAACTCCAGCTGCGTTCTGCACACAGCCACAGTAACATTTACTAAGTTTTTAAGTGGCGTCACCAAAAATATATAATTAACACACAGTCGTTCATGTCCGTTCATTTTCTCTCTGGTAAGTTCTGTCTGTATTTGAGCATGACGTGTGGACGCGCTCGCGCTGCAGCGCTCGTCACTGGTGCAGCCGGGCAGCGCAGCACACACTCCGCTTTTTTTGCGGTCAATAGATCAATTTGATCTGCTAGTTAAAAAGTTACTTGTGAGGTGAAAAAGAAGGAAGCAGGCAGGAGTTTGTCTGGAGGACTGGGAGATGCAGGAAGATCAGAGACAAGTAGGACAGGAAAATGGGAAAATAAAAACCAAGAAAACAAAGTTCTTACAAAAATAAAATGTTGGTAGATTGATCCCACTGCACGTTTGTACCTGTGTAAAGCAATCATTTATCAGCATGCAGTACAGTTGATACAATTCAGATCATCTTCAAAACTCCGTCCCATGCCCAGGGGCGTATCTAAGCATTTTGGGGGCCGAGGCAAAATAGACCCCTGCCAGGTATTTTAAGTTGAAGTGCTATCTGTTTTTATATTAGACTTTTTATATTTGCAATCAAGTCCTAAAGTGAAGAATTTGTTATTTATTACTTGATTGTTCAAGCTGCCTCACAGAAGTGATCTGTTGTTAAAAATTAAAATAAAAAGGTAATTAAATAAAAAAATAAGGAACATTCTGGAACAGTTTCTTCCTTTTTTTTTTTTTTTTTTATGCATCAAAAGTATCGGATCGGGACTCGGTGTCGGCAGATTCTCAAAATCAAGTGACTCGGACTCGGACTCGAGGGCAAAAAACCTGACCGGGACATCCATAGTTTTTATGGTATAAACTGAGGTAGTGTTTAGCTTTCTTGGTTTATTCTTAACATCAAAATCACAGCAGCTCAGCGCCACCAATGATCCAGGCACACACATGTTGCCAAGGTAACGAGCTTAAAGACAGCTCCACCAGCCAACACACAGGCTGTGCTCACAGACAACAGGTCCGCCATCTAGTTGTTCCCCAACACGAACACAACCAGCTCCTTCAATGAAAGCTGCATACGGAACAGAACATTCTGTCCGTCACACTCGGATCCCCTTCGGGCTTCACTTCCTGTGCGATTCGTGCACATAGAGAGTTATCCCAGCGGTCTGGAGTTTTACAACGGATCTTCAACATGAGCCTGGAGATGCAGAGAGTTCCATCACTCTGGAAGACATCCTGCCTGGTTCCTGTCCCTAAAAAGATCAACCCGTCGACCCCCAGTGACTACAGGCCAGTGGCTCTGACCTCACACGTCATGAAGACGCTGGAGAGACTCGTCCTAAAACATCTGCGGCTGCTGGTGGAGCCTTGGCTGGATCCCCTGCAGTTTGCTTATCAACCTCGTATCGGTGTGGAGGATGCCCTCATCTACCTGCTGGACCGGGCATATTCTCATCTGGACATTGCTGGGAGCACTGTGAGGGTCATGTTTTTCGACTTCTCTAGTGCCTTTAACACAATCAGACCATCACTGCTGGGGAACAAGCTCACAGAAATGCAGGTGGACGCCCCACTTGTAGGTTGGATTACGGACTATTTAACAAATAGACCACAGCATGTCCGACTGATGAGCTGCCGCTCAGATAACATCCTGAGCAGCACGGGGGCGCCGCAGGGGACAGTCCTATCACCCTTCCTCTTCACCCTTTACACATCTGACTTCATGTACAAGTCTCAGTCTTGCCATCTGCAGAAATTCTCTGATGACTCTGCCATTGTGGGCTGTATCAGGGATGGTCAGGAGGTGGAGTACAGGAGTGTGGTGGACAGCTTTGTGGAGTGGTGTGAGCGAAACAACCTACAACTTAACATCACAAAGACTAAGGAACTGATTATGGACTTTAGGAAGCAGGCCCCACCTCCTACTCCTGTCACCATCAGAGGGGCTGACGTTGAGATCGTTGAGGACTACCAGTACTTGGGTGTACACTTGGACTGTACACTGGACTGGACTAAGAACACCAGTGCTATCTTCAAAAAAGGGCAGAGTCTGCTTTTCCTACTGAGGCGGCTCAGGTCCTTCAATGTTGGGAGGAAAATGCTGACCATGTTCTACCACTCGGTGTTGGAGAGCGTTGTGTTCTTTGCAGCTGTGTGCTGGGGCAGTGGGGTGAAGATAGCTGATGCCAACCGGCTGAACAAGCTGATTAGAAGGGCCGGGTCTGTCCTGGGTGTTAGACTGGAGAACCTGGAGGAGGTGTCTGAGAGGAGAATGCTAAAAAAGCTTCTCTCTATCATGGACAACCCCTCCCACCCCATGCACGCCCACATGATGGACCATCGAAGCACACGCAGCAAAAGACTCATTGCCCCGAAATGCAGAACTGACCGCCACAGGAAATCCTTCGTACCGGTGCAAAATAGGACTGTTTAACTCTTCCTCACCCTGTAGGTGACTCTCCTAATGCTGTTACCTAGGTTATTCTGTGCCCTCACCGACTGTGCAATATTACCAGAGTTCTGATTGTAAATATGTTTTTATCCCCCCATCATATCATATGCTGCTACAAACCCATATTCTATTACACGATACTTTAATCACTTTTGTGAATCGCCTGCACCAACGGCTTAATTACTTATCCACAAGGATGCAGTCATGTATTTAATTAATTATTTTATTTTTATTTTTTTTTTAATGAATATATTGTATATCATATTTCTATTTCACCTGTTCCTTTGTCTCTCCAACTGCTTTGAGCATGTACATGACACAAGAATTTCCCTCGGGATAAATAAAGTTGTTCTTATTCTTATTCTTATTCTTATGTGCATGGGAGTATCTGGATACGCTTTAATAGCTGATGTCTTTGCAGGTTCAGAAAGCGATGAAGATTACAGTGAGCCGGCTGAGAGCGAAGACGAAGAATTTACAGTAAAGAAAGCCAGCAAGACTAAAAAAAGGGAAAAAGGAACAAAGAAAGACAAAATCAAACTAACTCCTGCCTCTAGGAAACAAAAGCAACCATCAAAACCATCAAATCCTAAATTACAGACATCAGGTATGTTTCTGACACACTAACGGTGCTTCCAACCTTATTGTCTTTATAAAGATGTTGTCTCGTGTCAGCTGCCACCTCAGTTAGAAGTCCCCCAGCAGCTAAACCGAGACCTGCTTCATCCAAACCTGCAGCCTCTCTGAGCCCAGCAGGAGGCAGAATACCCAAGTGGAACCCACCAGGTAGGTACAGCACAAGCGGGAAAGCATATTCAGACCACTGAAGCGTGCTGGTTTAAGGGTTTTTCTTTTTCAGCTCAAATAGGCAAAAGTCCCACATCGTCCTCGGCTCCAGCAGTGAAGTCTCCCGGACAAGGTCTGCGTCTGGGACTGTCCCGCCTTGTCCGAGTCAAACCTCTTCATCCGAGTGTTGCAGGTCACTGACGAACAATCTGTCAGTAACTCAAGAAGGGTTCATTTCATACGTCATTTTGTTTTTCTCAGATATTTTAATGTCTTCTTCATTTGACACAAAATGGGGTAATTCCAGGAGAGGATCTACTAACTCGTGTTGGTTATAAACATCAGAGTAGCTGTGGCTGATCCAGGGTCTGTAGCCCTCATCGGTTAATTATTTAATCCCTCCTGGATGAGTTCAGGAAGAAACCCCTGTTGGGTTGTGTCAAAGGAAAAATGCATATTGTTCCCCTTTATTTCTCATTTTTAAAACAAAGTTTTACTCCGTAGTGCAACATTTGTATATTGTGTACATACAAATAAACGGAACTTTAAATGTATGTAAATGTGGATGTTGTTTTACATAAATAAACTGAAATAATGATGTGCTTTTCTGCACCAAAAGCAACACAAAGAAAATGCATCGGCGTCAGCATTATTAGTCTCACAACCGCTGTTAAATGTTAGAAAAGAATCTGTTACTTTAAGAAAATAAATGTTGAAATATTTTTATTTTTGGGCTGATAAAAGATAAATAAAAACAGTAAAGAAAAATACACAGAACTTGTTTTATTTTTTATTTTTGCGTTTAAATAAAATATAATTAGAATTTATTTCTTGGTAAAAATGAACCTAAATTGCACAGTTAAGTAAAAAAGAGCAAAAATAAAGACATGAAAATATTTTTTTTTTGGCATTGGAGAACAGAACATGGGTTAAAATCGTGAGAAATGAACCGCTTTTTGCCTTTTTTTAGTCTTTAAACTGTTTTGTCCTTAACGGTTTTGCTGCAAGCACATAAAGAAAAAAATGTCATGACTTCTATTTTAAATAAATAAAACCTCTAAGTGAAAGCTCTGTTACCTTTTTCCAAATTTGATCACACAGTAAAAATATATTAAAATAAAATATATGTATTTTTTAACATTTAGCACCATGGCACATGTGAACATAAGGAAAACATGGCATGGAGCAGAAAAATGTGAATATTTGAATTTAAAGACTCAAAAAATCTGATTAATGACTCAAACTTCTGTTAATACTTTAAATGAAATGACTACAGTAAAGACAAACAAAAACGAACTAATAGAGGCATGGACGTAATTTTTTTTGGGGGGGGGGGGACATGTCCCCCCCACTTTCTCCAAAGTCAAGTTTTCACCCCTGCACTTTTTACCAATACTTTATATTAAATTGGCACTGGTTGAGCTCTAGGACCAAGCAGAAAACAACCATTTGTGTTGAAGCCTGTTTCCCATTAGAACATACTGTAAAGACCCCCCCCCCACACACACACACACACACACACGTGTCCCCCCCACTTCTAAAGTGAAAATTACATCCATGAATAGAGGTCTTTTTAACTCCTGTTCCTGTTTTCTGCAGAGTCCTGGTTTTCTGTTCCTCCCAGGTGAGTTCAGTTAATGGCAAACAGCTTTCAGGTGAGATTCACTGAGAAGAAAGCAGGAGGGAAACTTTGAATTAAAACTCTGAATATGGGTGGGATAATCAGTGGATTTGATGAACCATGCGTACAAACCTGTTCTCACTGTGAGTGCTGTTATCTGTGTGTACCAAGGGGGTGGAGAGGCAAAACCAAGGAGAGATAACCTCCACCTTCTGTTTCAGCGAGACGCAAAGCTTCACGGCAGCAGCAGGATGAGGTCTGGCTGGATGAAAGTGTTTCTGACGGTCCTTGTGGTGGCTTTAGTCTCGTTATACCTCAGCTTCATAAGGACGGAGGTCCGCATCCATTCAGAGAAACTCCAGAGGGCCCACCACAATGAGTCCATCAGGGGAGAGGGAATGCTCCAGAGGATGGACAAGATGGAGCAAAACATCAACAAGCTGCGTGAGTCGGTGCTTTCTCTCTGAGACACACACGCTCACCCTTTGAAGGATTATTTAGCATTTTTGTAGGTCAAAGGATTTTAAACTGGACATATTTTCCTTCTTTCATAGATAAAAACCTCATTTTTAGCTGACTTTTAGAACAGACTTTATTAATCCCACGGTGGGGAAATTCACTCGTTACAGCAGCACAGAGGAAAGGGAAAAGGAAAGATGATAAGATTGCAGGTAAACACACAAAAGGTAATAAGCTATTATTGTAATGTCCAACCACTAAAAACAACAAATAAAAAAGAAACCTGATTTTCCAGAACTATGCAGTATAAAGGATGCAGACATACTATGTAAATCCAGTAATGGACAAGTACTGAACACATACTGAGTATTACATTGATGTAATTGTGCAACAGGATAATGCCAGTACCAGTTAAACTGAAGAGTTGTACACTTTCACTGCAGAGGGGATGAATGACCTACGGCAGCGTTCTGTTTTACATCTGGGACGCCTCAGTCTGCCTCTGAAGGAGCTGTCTTTGTAGATACCTCATGAAAAAACATGCACAAATATTTTAAAGACTTACAAAACTTCACTTTTTTCATTTATCGCATAATGTTTTTAAGGAGTGAACCTTTAATTTTATAAGGCATGTTCTGATTATTTAACTTTGAGAAAAACAAAATGCAGCAATCCTGATATTTTCCAAAAATGCTTTAAAAATAATCAAATGATTGGATTCAGTTGAGAAAAAGTTTAATTTCCCACAACATGACAGAGTGATTAAATAACTGCTGGTTATAAAAACACAGGTCTGTTAATTAGATCTCATGCTTTTTAAACTTTACTTTCACATTTAATTACTCTGTAATTACTTTTGATTCAGCTGTATGTCCTGATCGGATCAAAGGAAAAGCGATGCAGAACTCAGTCTTTTTTTATTTGCAGTCAGCTTGATGGAAAGACATGAAAAGAAGGAGAAAAAGGTAGAGCTGAAGAAGAAGAAAGTGGAGAGAAAGCTGTATCCAAACTCGAATCTGTTCCTCAAGTGGGGAGACGGCCTGTCGGAAGAGGAGCAGAAGGAGGCGGAGAGGTTGTTCCAGAAGTACGGCTACAACGGCTTCCTCAGCGACCGACTGCCGCTCAACAGAGAGATTCCTGACACCAGGCCTCCGAGGTGAGCTCCACATCCTGGTCCCTTAGGGGAGTGAGACCGTCAGGCAACACCTTCCCCACATAAACAGAACAGAACTCCACCCTGCCTGAAGGGTCTGTGTGTCCATAATAAACAGGATTTAGTTGTTTCAGGAAGAACACGTAAGAATTATTATTGATTTAGATCAGTTTGGACTTCTGGAATCGGATCGTTTGTTTTCTTGTTTTGTGAAAAGGGTAAAAGGAGGAGGAGGGCAAATGACAGTTTTAGTAATAAAATATGGTTTAGTCCATCGACTGAGCAAATTTAGAAGCAGCCACCAGATTTGTGTTTATTTTTCTGTAACACTTTTCCTCAGTAGGGTCACAGGGAGCTGGTGTCTAACTCGAGCAGTCATTGGGCAACAGGCGGAGGGGACACCCTGCACAGGTCTCCTGTCCATCACAGAGACAAGTCACACACTCGCTCGCCCACATCTAGGGACAGTTTAGTCTCCAACCACCTGGCATCCATGTTTTTGGTCTGTGGGAGGAAACTGGAGTTAACCCTCATGCATGAGGAGAACATGCCAACTCCACGCAGAAAGGCTGCAGCTGGGATTCAAACCTGCAATCCTCTCGCTGCGAGGTAACAGTGCTACTAACCCCACCACCATGAAGTCCAAGTTCTCATCAGTAAATGGTTAGAAAACACGTTCCCTTTAATTTTTTTAACACACAAGCTGTTTTATAGCATATTTAATAGTTGAATGAACATTTCCTTAATTTGTGGCATCTCCTCCCAGAGGAACCAGGAGGCCTCCTGGTCAGAATCATCTCAGCTGACTCTTTTTGGATGAGGAGCAGCAGATCTTCTGTGAGCTCGCTCCAGATCATGGATGCCCTCTCCTGATCTTTAAAGCTGGGCCTGAACACCTAATAGAGGAAGCTCATCACAGCTTCTATCTTGAATCTTTTTTCTTTCAGTCGTGATTTAAATATTACAGTAGATGATCGCTGGAATGGAGATGACCAGTAAACTGAGAGCGTACGGTCACGTGTAAGACTGTAAATGCTCTGGATGAGGCACAGACCCTCAACTTCATCCAACTTCTGCTGACCAGGATTTTTTTGGACAGTCTGCTTTACAAGAATCTTGACATTTTAACACAAGGTAAATGCTGCCCTGGGGCCCACTGACAGAGGCGAGGCCTGCTGGCGCCACCGGTCCCTCCGACCACCACCAGCAGGCAAAGCAGGTTAAGTGTCTTGCCCAAGGACACGACAGCAACATTAGCTGGTCAGAGCTGGGATTGAACCTGCAACCTTCCAATTACTGGACAATCTGCTCCGCCTCCTGAGCTACTGCTGTCCCACATGAACAAGTTGTGATCATTTTGTGTTTTTGTTCATCACAGATGTTCAGAGAAGACGTATCCAGAGGATCTTCCATCTCTCAGCGTTGTGCTGATCTACCTGGATGAAGCTCTGTCCATCATCAAGCGGGCCATCCGCAGCATCATCGATAAGACGCCCGCTCGGCTGCTGCTGGAAATCATCCTGGTGGACGATCACAGCACCAACAGTATGCTCAACTTGGATGTTCGGATTAGCAAAAGTTTGTTTCTTCACTCTGATTAGTTTTCATCGGAATGTTCCGTGTTGTGGGATTTTGTTTAGAGACGTATTAAAGCAACAAGAAAACCGTCCTTGATTCAATCAAAAGGGTTTTATTTCAACATTCGCAGAGAATCTCTTCACAGCATCTCAGGAGCGTGTCCTCCTCAGTAGAGCCATCGCACTCTGCTGTCGGCCCCCCCCTTACCCCTCCCTAGGACATGGAAGAAGGGTTTTATGACAGTATGGAGACGTAATAAGAGAAAAGCCTTCATCAAATTCATCCAGTGCATTAACTCAGTTGAGCTTGCAGCGGAAAAGACCAAAGCAATCATTTTGTGCGAAAACGTTTTGAGTGGAAGTAGGGTGTGTGACTTCTCTTAACCCTGACTTGGTGTGTTGGCGTCTTTCCAAATCAAAAAAGTCCAGCATTTATTTTCCATTTGTTTTAGCTGAGAAGGGTGTCTATGTCTGATTAATAGAAATAAATCTGGACGTTTTCCCAAAAGCAACAGAAGAATCTGAACCAAAGCTTTTATTTTTAGCACACTTTCCTCCTTGTTTTGTTTTTTTCCAGAGGATTTAATGGAGAATCTGGATGAATACGTGGACTCCATCCATGAGGAGCGTCTAGGTCTGATAAAGAGGGTGCGGCACGCGGAGCAGCTCGGTCTCACCCAGGCCAGACTGTCGGGGTGGAACGCAGCTGCAGGAGATGTGGTGGCCATCTTGGACGCTCACATAGAAGTCCATGTGCAATGGTTGGTAGAGGATTCCCATAAAAGGAACTTGGCATTGAATGATGGTTTCCGTTAAACTCGTGTGTGTGTGTGTGTGTGTGTGTGTGTGTGTGTGTGTGTGTGTGTGTGTGTGTGTGTGTGTGTGTGTGTGTGTGTGTGTGTGTGTGTGTGTGTGTGTGTGTGTGTGTGTGTGTGTGTGTGTGTGTGTGTGTGTGTGTGTGTGTGTGTGTGTGTGTGTGTGTGTGTGTGTGTGTGTGTGTGTGTGTGTGTGTGTGTGTGTGTGTGTGTGTGTGTGTGTGTGTGTGTGTGTGTGTGTGTGTGTGTGTGTGTGTGTGTGTGTGTGTGTGTGTGTGTGTGTGTGTGTGTGTGTGTGTGTGTGTGTGTGTGTGTGTGTGTGTGTGTGTGTGTGTGTGTGTGTGTGTGTGTGTGTGTGTGTGTGTGTGTGTGTGTGTGTGTGTGTGTGTGTGTGTGTGTGTGTGTGTGTGTGTGTGTGTGTGTGTGTGTGTGTGTGTGTGTGTGTGTGTGTGTGTGTGTGTGTGTGTGTGTGTGTGTGTGTGTGTGTGTGTGTGTGTGTGTGTGTGTGTGTGTGTGTGTGTGTGTGTGTGTGTGTGTGTGTGTGTGTGTGTGTGTGTGTGTGTGTGTGTGTGTGTGTGTGTGTGTGTGTGTGTGTGTGTGTGTGTGTGTGTGTGTGTGTGTGTGTGTGTGTGTGTGTGTGTGTGTGTGTGTGTGTGTGTGTGTGTGTGTGTGTGTGTGTGTGTGTGTGTGTGTGTGTGTGTGTGTGTGTGTGTGCAGGGCAGAACCTCTGTTGGCTCGGATCAAAGAGGACCGCACCGTGATCCTGACTCCAGTTTTTGACAGGGTCAACTTTGATGACTTGACGTTGACTCCATATGCACCCAACGCCCATGGCTTTGACTGGGCAACGTGGTGCTTGTACGAGTCCTTCAGACCAGAGTGGTACGCTTTAAGGGACGAGTCGCAACCTGGCAAGTAAGAGTTTGATAAGAAGCAAATTTTTCCATCTCAAGAATGTGTGTGTGTGTGTGTGTGTGTGTGTGTGTGTGTGTGTGTGTGTGTGTGTGTGTGTGTGTGTGTGTGTTTCACCAGATTTTTCTGCACCAAATGATCTTGCAAGTATTTTTAAAGCCCTTTTTTCAAGATTGAACAGGTACTTAGAATGTTAGCAGATGGATGTGGTCTGAGCGATGGGTCTGAGTCAGTAAAAAATGATAAACATTAAGTGTTTTGCCAAAACTAATAATTTTCAATAAATATTCTATTAAAATATGCTCCAAATAAAGTGTGTTTTTTTAAGTTAAAACCCTACATGAAGGCAGGTTAGCAAAAATGACACAATTTATTTAAACAAATCAAAATCCATGAAGCCTTTGTTGTCTTTTCTCTGATGGTCTCAACAGGAGTCCCTCCGTCATGGGGATTCTGGTCGCTGATCGCAAATTCTTTGGAGAGATTGGAAGTCTCGACAGTGGGATGAAAATATATGGAGGGGAAAATGTGGAGCTCGGCATCCGGGTAGGGCTTCTTGGACTTCGTTTTTATTTTTTTCAAAATAATTTGTTTTTACAGATTAACAATCATCTTTACAGATGTAGAGATCCTACCTTCTTGCTAAAACCCTTCAAAATCAGCACATATTAAAACCAATCGTTTAAAAAGTGATCCTGAGGGAACCCCCCTCCTCCAGAGAACCTGTCCGATCCCCCACAGAGCTCTAAAAGTGTTGTTGAAAAATATTGGTGGCTTTGCAACATTTAACCATAAAAGACAGGTCAAAAATACATGGGAGCAGGTCTGTTTCTCAATGTCAAGGCGCCTTGCTTACGAGGACACGGTCCTTCCTCGGTCAAAGAAAACGGTTAAATGGAACAGACTTCCATCACGTGACCGCGGCTTCCACGGCGGTCTCGTAATGTCACGCGACACAGGAGATAACGTTATATTTTACATGTATTAGTTTCAATATAAATATATAACAAGCCTTTTACTTTTTAAATCGTGTATATGTTTACTAAATAAAAAAATATGTGACTTACTACCCGCCAGCCACCGAAGCTGCAACTACTAACTTCTTCGGATCTGAAAAAAACATTTTAAATTAGTTGACTTACTTTTTAACTTGAAAATTGTCCCCGAAGTAGCTGCCGGCTTCTGATCAGCCGTCTTTTTGAAAATACTGCGGTGTATTGTGGGTAATTTTTGACCAAGTCTAGGCTACAAGACACCTCCCGTGTGTCCTTGCTCAGCTAGCTTAACAGCTAACAAACGGAGAACACACGCCTCGGTAGAACATGGACATTGGAACCGACTGGAACACGTCTTGGCGGCTCCTGATGACGTATCTCCTAGGCAACCGGGGTGGGGCCAAGACATCAAGGCAAGGTTCCTTGGCATTGAGAAACACCCCAAGTCTCTAGATGATGCCATATTAGATGCCATGTTTCCCTATACGGGAGCCCATGAGGACTAAATGCATTATGCATGCATGACAAATGGTTACAAAACTTTCGCCATTTTAAAATGTTGTTTTACACATTTACCTCTTCACTTGTTGCCAGCGGTAAAAGGGAGTCTGATGTGCTTGTTGTTTTTTTTAAATAAAATTTTGCACTCCCCAACACAAAAATACTGCTTGCTTGCAACGATTTAGGTATCTACTGCCCCCTATCGCCAGAAATGATACACACTGTCACTTTAAGCTGCACTCCACATCAGTCCAACTCTGTCCCAGCATCTTGTTCTTTCTTGTTAACCAGATTTCCAGTTTTGCATTTGCAAACAAAAAGTTGATTAGCAACAATGTCTGTTTCTTTTGAACATTGTACTTGGGACTAAAAACAAAGGCAGAGGTGGTAAAAACTTCTCTGAGCGCTAACCCAATGTTCTAGAACCCTAAACATCCCTGACAGCCTAGAGCATGACGCGATCAAACATGGACACAGTTTTGACTTTAGAAGTAGAGGAGACACAACCGGCACGAGGACTGGGAGGGATCTTTACAGTAAGTATATGTGACGGTGTGAGCGTCCTGTCACTGTGACCTGATTGATCATGCGCCCTGGCTACTTGGCCCAAGGGATGTCCCTTTGGCTGACTGGTTAGCGTGAGATTGAATCCCACCCGGGCCCTCGTTTCTCCACCTTGCCACATATACAAAAAAAATATGTATAAATCTACAGCCTAGAGGCTCTTTTATGCAATGTCAGGATTGCAGAACTGTCAAGGACACAGGTGGCAGGAACGGCCAATGTAAAGATCTGGACAGTCCTCACTACACTGGACTACATAAACAACGCCACTGAGCTTCTGTTTGGGTGTTTTATCTTTAGGATGGACCAGTTCCTGTCTGAGGATGTTGTTGGGTTTATGGTTTACTGGGATCTTGGGTTTGGAGAAGATTCTTTAAGTTTCTTTGAGACTCCTGCCACGTATGGGATGATGGTGCTTTTGCGCCTTTTGTCCTTTTATATTAGCAGCTGTGGGTTATTTTCCTGACTTTGTTGATTTCATAACTGTAGCATAAAATGTCAGTTATTAGGACTCTACACCATCGGGCTGAGAATACCCTAACCGGGCCTTTGTGAATTCTACAAATGTCGTTTTTTTATTTTTATGGATTTATATTTGTCAGTTTTAGTATTTTAAATATTCTTATTTTTACAAATTTCTTTTTGCTTCACTAAACAGCAGCATTTTCTTAGTCATGATCTTTTATACAAACAAGTCTTCACGGTGGTGTAAGCTCGGTGTTCCCCTTGATGTAAATAAATATCTGTGCACTAAATTTTTAACTGTTGATAAACCTCACTTTTATTTTTGTAGGTGTGGCTGTGTGGAGGGAGTATAGAAGTGATCCCTTGCTCTAAAATTGCTCACATCGAGCGATATAAAAAGCCTTATGCCTCGGACCTCATGGCCACGGTGAGGCGAAACGCCCTGAGGGTGGCAGAAATCTGGATGGATGACTATAAATACAACGTGGAAATTGCCTGGAACCTCCCAATAGGGGTATGATCTGATATGTTTCTATTAGTAACATGAGTTTCATCTTTTATCATCTAAAATAATCCGGTTAGGCCTCATGAAAGACTGAAGCTGCTGTCGTACCAGGTAATTATAGAAATAAAAAGAATCTCATGTGATTTTATTTTTCTTAACAGAATCATGGGATAGACACTGGAGATGTTTCAGAGAGAAGGAAGCTGAGAAAGAGGCTGAAGTGTAAGCCCTTCCAGTGGTATCTAGATAATATTTACCCCCTGCTGGAACCACTGAATAACCTACTTGGTTATGGCGGAGTAAGTTTTGATGATGTAAAGTTGAGGTGAAAAAGAATAATTTGGAAGCATGGCGGCTGTCTAAAACTGAGTCTTTATCCTAAACCCAGAAAACAAAACCAACTCAAGAATGAGAAGTTTAAATGTGTGGAAAACTCAGAAACTATTTAAATCTTATTTCTGATTATAATCCGAGTTCTTGATGCAGGCTGAACATCAAAATAGTCTCCTACACCTGTCTCCTATGTTAGCTTCTGATAGAAAATGGATGGTGAAGCTCTAGGATTAGAAAATCCTGACGGATCTACATCACACTGTCACTTAGCATTCATGGACTCACCCATCTTGACTTATGACGGGGAAGGCTGTTGTTGGTTTGGCATCCAGGAAACTGCAGAGAATGCCTTGGCTAGTAGAAGCTAACTGTTAGCATTAGCAACTCCACCACACAGCAGAACTCCTCCAGGCTTGTGTCGTTTGTGAAGATAAAACATCAACGTTGCAGAGCAAACAGTCAGTGGTAGAGTTGCGTTGCTGTTAGCCAATCAGAGGTGAGGCTCAGCTCTGCTGTGGCTCACTTCTAGTTCCTGAAAGTGGTGCACCAGGGCTTTGGCATCAACTTTGGACTATTTACTTTTTTCTTTGTGTCAATAGAGGTACGCGGGTCCTTTATTTAAAAAAAAAGGACATGTTTGAGTCTTCAGTGTATGGTGGACTGTCACGTTGTCCATTAGCATATGGAGATGGTTAAAGACATCCATAAATTCTATATGTTCATACATATAGAATGGCTTACCAGGCTAGTATACAATAATTCTACAACATGGCAAAACATTTTCAGGTGTGTTATTAGTAGAGATAAAACATCTCTGTTGCATTGTTTTGTCCAAGAAAGAAGAGTTGTTGCCGTTAGCCAATCAGAGGCCACATGTTCACATATTATATCAATGAGCATCACTCTTAATCATTACTTTTTCTGCGCCTCAAGGGTTTTTCTAGCGGAAAGAGTGTGAAATACCTGCAGGATGTTTACAGTAGCTAGCTAAATTTGGCTGCAGGACTTTATTTGAAACAAAGGAATCTTATGTTTCTAAAAACAGAATAGTATTAAAACGACAGAAAATCCTTCTAACTGACCCCAGTATCCAGTCTGTTTGGTCAGAAATAATTCTGTCTACAATGGCTTAGATATTAATTGTTCTCGACCTTTTTACATACAGGTCCTTCTCAAAAAAATTAGCATATTGTGATAAAGTTAATTATTGTCTGTAATGTACTGATAAACGTTAGACTTTCATATATATTAGTCATTACACACAATTATTGTATCTAATATTGATTTTGGCATACAGCTCATGAAAACCCAAAATTCCTATCTCAAAAAATTTGCATATTTCATCCGACCAATAAAAGTGTTTTTAATACAAAAAAGTTAACCTTCAAATAATTATGTTCAGTTATGCACTCAATATTTGGTCGGGAATCCTTTTGCAGAAATGACTGCTTCAATGCGGCGTGGCATGGAGGCAATCAGCCTGTGGCACTGCTGAGGTGTTTTGGAGGCCCAGGATGCTTCGATAGCGGCCTTAAGCTCATCCAGAGTGTTGGCTCTTGCGTCTCTCAACTTTCTCCTCACAATATCCCACAGATTCTTTATGGGGTTCAGGTCAGGAGAGTTGGCAGGCCAATTGAGCACAGTAATACCATGGTCAGTAAACCATTTAGCAGTGGTTTTGGCACTGTGAGCAGTTGCCAGGAAAAATGAAATCTTCACCTCCATAAAGCTTTTCAACAGATGGAAGCATGAAGTGCTCCAAAATCTCCTGGTAGCTAGCTGCATTGACCCTGTAGCCTAGTGAACTAGACCAAATTCTTGCTTTGCAAAGAATGGTCTAGGCATGCTCCATTGGAACCTCAGCAGCTCCTACCAGGACTCTGGCTAGCCAATCACAGCTCTAGAGGGGGTTTCAAACACATAAAGAGCTGTGATTGGTCCATAATGGTGGGCCAATCATAGTGCTCTATCTGCTTAGTGAACAAATCAAAGAGCTTAATCCGCTTTGTGGGCCAATCAGGGCACTCTATGTGCCTGGTGGGTGGGATGATGCAACAGAGTGAAACAAGAGTATGTCACATTCATTGTCCAGTGGAATGCGGAGATCATTTGAAAGACAACGGTAGAACCCGCCCCACAACCGAGAGCCGTCAATGGAGCGTGGCCAGACTAAATAATACATTTATTTAGTCTGGCTTGCCAGGCTATTGACCCTGCCCTTGATGAAACACAGTGGACCAACACCAGCAGCTGACAGGGCACCCCAGACCATGGTAAATGGTAAATGGCCTGTATTTGATATAGTGCCTTCTAGAGTCCTGGAACCCCCCAAGGCGCTTTACAACACAACCAGTCATTCACCCATTCACGCACACATTCACACCCTGGTGGGGATGAGCTACAAAGTAGCCACAGCTGCCCTGGGGCGCACTGACAGAGGCGAGGCTGCCGAGCACTGGCGCCACCAGTCCCTCCGTCCTCCACCAGCAGGCAATGTGGGTTAAGTGTCTTGCCCAAGGACACAACGACAGCGACAGACTGAGCGGGTCTCGAACCTGCGACCTTCCGATTGCGAGGCGAGCACTTAACTCCTGTGCCACCATCACTGACTGTGGGTACTTGACACTGGACTTCAGGCATTTTGGCATTTCCCTCTGCCCAGTCTTCCAAACTCTGGCACCTTGATTTCCGAATGACGTGCAAAAACTTTGCTTTTGTTGGGTAATTTTATCAATCCAAGATTACCTTAGGGAAAGTTCAAAGCACAGGGGTTTATAGTAATCAATCGATCAACACCAATACCAATCACAATCAATTTAGACTTTGCAAAGTGGAGAGGAAAAGATGCACACCAAACAACGGGTCTCAGTTCACTCATCGGACCGGAAGTCCTCCGACAGTATTTATTAGCTCACAAGCACACACAAAGATTAACACACACACACATTTCACATTCCTTACTCTCAGGCGGGAAAGCTGTGAAGAGAGTCTAAACTCTAAAGCTCCAGGTGCACCCTAAATCAACAAAGCAATTTCTAGACTTTCTCAAGGGAGTTTTACTGATAAAGGTCGGTTCTGAGGCAAGGTCCATCCTCCTTGTAGGAACTAGTGGAGACTGGTATCTGTCAACAGGATGAAGATGTGTTTTAATAAGGCACCAGATGTTTAGCAGGCAAGACATTAATATTAGTTCAATAATGATATCAGTTTTTACTTAGCTTTCATCCAAAAAAAGTACTTTGGACCACTGAGCAACAGTCCAGTGCTGCTTCTCTGTAGCCCAGGTCAGGCACTTCTGCCGCTGTTGCTGGTTCAAAAGTGGCTTGACCTGGGAATGCGGCACCTGTAGCCCATTTCCTGTACACGGTGGCTCTGGATGTTTCTACTCCAGACTCAGTCCACTGCTTCCGCAGGTCCCCCAAGGTCTGGAATTGGTCCTTCTCCACAATCTTCCTCAGGGTCCGGTCACCTCTTCTCGTTGTGCAGCGTTTTCTGCCACACTTTTTCCTTCCCACAGAGGTGCCTTGATACAGCACTCTGGGAACAGCCTATTGGTTCAGAAATTTCTTTCTGTGTCTTACCCTCTTGCTTGAGGGTGTCAATGATGGCCTTCTGGACAGCAGTCAGGTCGGCAGTCCTACTCATGATTGCGGTTTTGAGTAATGGACCAGGCTGGGAGTTTTTAAAAGCCTCAGGAATCTTTTGCAGGTGTTTAGAGTAAATTAGTTGATTCAGATGATTAGGTTAATAGCTCGTTTAGAGAACCTTTGCACAATATGCTAATTTTTTGAGATAAGAATTTTGGGTTTTCATGAGCTGTATGCCAAAATCATCAATATTAGAAACAATAAAAGGCTTGAAATACTTAAGTTGTGTGTAATGAATCTAATATGTATGAAAGTTTAATATTTATCAGTACATTACAGAAAATAAAGAACTTTATCACAATATGCTAATTTTTTGAGAAGGACCTGTACTTCCAAAAATCTGAACCATCCCTTTAACATGATGTCTGCTTATGTTTTAGCTGATAAATGATCAGCAGCCAGAGCTCTGTGTGGATCAAGGTCCGACGTCTGATTACACTCCCATCCTATATGGATGCCACTTTTATTCCAGTCAGGTAAGCTCGGAGATCTGTAAACATCCTGTAGCGCTAATTATTGCTGACTTGTAATTGTGTGTCGTAGCACTGCTTTTATCGTACTGATGGAGCACTTTACATCGGTGGAATCAAATCTCACAAATACAACAGCAACAACTGTCTGGTGGACCCCAGTTTGGGATCCTTACCGGGATCTTACAGCTGCACAACGGCCCGGCAGATGAAATTCCACATGCTTTGGGATTTTAAACAGGTACGTTTTGTTTGGGAAAACATAAAGATGAGGCTGGAGAAGATGAACTGAGTTTTGTTCTCAGGGAGGACCGATCCAGAACAGGGAAACAAAAAGGTGTTTGGAGATCGTGCCAGGTGAAGATGGCCGTTTCAGTCTAGTAGTTCAGCAATGCAGCGGCCAGAGGTGGAACATCCAACACGTCATCGATGTTAAAGCACAAAAAACTCACATCCCGTCAGAACAAAAGCTGTAGCCCACAGTCGGGTCAGGAACATTTTCTTACCTGTCATTTTTCATATTTTGAAAAATAAAATGTTTTTTTCTGATAACTTTTACTTCTAATATGATTATGAGATCATCCAATACCATAATTTCTTTACTTTCTGAAACCCTCTGAGGATGTGATTTTTATTGATTATACAAATATCATTCAAGTCAAACAGGATCGATTATAATTTGGTTGTCACGAGTTCTCCGAAACGAAGGCGTTCCACTTGTTTTGCCAAGTGGTGAGACCAACATCCTTAAGGTGAGCTGGCAGGGAGCTGTATCTGCAAGACAAAATAAGGAATTGTGTGATTTAACTGCTTTTAGATCAGATAAACCTTTAATTGTTGTCGTCATCTTCCTCCGCTTATCCGGGTCCGGGTCGCGGGGGCAGCAACCCAACTAGGGAGCTCCAGACCGTCCTCTCCCCGGCCACCTCCACCAGCTCCTCCGGCAGGACCCCAAGGCCTTCCCGGGCCAGATTGGAGATGTAACCTCTCCAACGTGTCCTGGGTCGACCCGGGGGCCTCCTGCCGGCAGGACATGCCCGAAACACCTCCCCAGGGAGGCGTCCAGGAGGCATCCTGACCAGATGCCCAAACCACCTCAACTGGCTCCTTTCGATCCGGAGGAGCAGCGGTTCTACTCCGAGTCCCTCCCGAATGTCCAAGCTCCTCACCCTATCTCTAAGGCTGAGCCCGGCCACCCTACGGAGGAAACTCGTTTCAGCCGCTTGTATCCGCGATCTCGTTCTTTCAGTCATTACCCAAAGCTCATGACCATAGGTGAGGATTGGGACGTAGATCGACCAAAAAATCGAGAGCCTGGCTTTCTGGCTCAGCTCCCTCTTCCACTTTAAACCTTTAATTGGTTTAAAAAAATAAACAATCACTCAGTAATGCATTTCTGTGGGGGATAATTGCCGTTGTCCAACATTAAAGGGTAAATAAGACTTTTTCCAACACAAACTCCCCATTGCTGTTGGTATTTCAAACTGAACTTGCTTACCTGAGCTCGGTTCAAAAACCCAAGAGACTTGACCCTTAAGAACAACCTTATGTTGCATCTCAGCCTGATTTATTAACTCTGACCAATTAAAACACAGGCTTGGTCTCTGTTGAACAGAACTGTGCTTTTTCTAGTTGGTTTTATTTGTCACAAGTTCCACTCGGAAACTTCCTGACCTGTCTTGGATGTTTTTAAATGGAGCTAGCTGGACTTCTCATCTTTAAAATGTTTCACCTCACATACTAGAAGCCAATGGGGTCAAGGCCATCATTCCGAATCAGAGGCCATAATCACCTGGGTGTCATAAATCTGAGTTTTTCAAACATGAATCTACTGTTTGAAGAGATTCTAGTGGAGGCGTGCTGTTAATTTTGAGTCATTTAAGATCTGACATGTTTGTGCTGTTTGGGAAAAAGCACAAATGATATTTTACTCTGGTGCCACATTAGTAGTTTAGTTTGGGTTTATGCAGATGTTTCCTTCTGGTTTGTTGCCTTTGACAAAAACATGTCAGACTGCTGAAAGCCCCACACGTGTCCAAAATGGTACCACAGTGACCTTTTGGGGGGAAGTGAAAATATGAGGCTGAAAATTGACAGCAATGTTTTTTTTTTTTTTTTTAATGTTAAGACCCCTTTTAAAATGTCAGTTTTCACAATTTTTAAACTAAAAAGTTGATCTTAAAAGCTGGTGAGACATATGCAGTATCCCTCTTTAAAGGCTGGACTATTAAACCAGGTGACGTGACTCTGACCTGATGGAGTTGAGCGCCAGCTCCTTCAGAGTTCCCAGATTTGCTTTCAGTCCCCCGATTCCGACAAAGGCTTCGTAAAAGTCGTAGGAGAGCCCCGACGTGCCGAACAGAGAGGGATCGTCAGAGCTGATCACCATCGGGTGGCCCTCGGACATCAGCACAGCTGCAGGGTGGTTCCTCAGATCGGACACCAGCTTCAGTACCTGCAGGTCAAAGGTCACTTAGATACTTTAAGTACAGGTGTTTTCCTGTGGCACAGCCAGAATGATACCTGGTTGGAGATGGGACAAAGCTCTACAGCTACATTTCTTTTCCTGGAAAGCTCTTTGGCGAGCGGGTGGTGTGCCAATGCGTAGCCATGCCCGATGCGTGTGGTGTTAAACAGAAGAGCATCCAGGATGTTTTGATCTACATCGGTGCCTTCATCATCTGCACATAAATGGGGGGAAAAAAAGGGTTTTCTCAAAGATTAACACATCTTTCATCCCTTTGGTGGTTTGCCCAACAAAGGGAGAAGCTTCTGACCCACCCACCCGTCTCCCCGGCGTGAAAGAAGAACGGCAGCGATGCACCGATGTCGGCCGGCAGAGAGAGCGCCTCTCTGAAGTACCAAAGAGTCCTGCCGTCGTTCTCCCTGCCGACCTGGAAAGCAAAAGTGTTAAACGGGTAAAAACCCATAAAGATGTCGAAGTTTGAAGGTGAACTCAGACACTTCTGTCGTTCTCACCATGTCAAACCCCGCAACCACATCAGGGAACTCCATCTTTAGCTGGATGGCCTCTTTGACAGCTGCTGTGACTGCAGAAACACTCAGAGCCCTGGAGAAAACAGAAACATGACTCAACCAGAATCTAGAGCACACATATTTGTTGAGCTAATAAACATGAGGGAGCTCGGTAAAATAAAATTAGTTTAACATGTAAAATAATGCAAAAAATATACAGATCTATTCATTTGGATGTGCGGCTGCCAGTTTTGGACCAAATGCTGAAATTCCAAGACAATCATGGCAATAAAAAGTCAGTACATCCCAGCACTTGTTAATGTTCTCATCTGACCAACTGGATTATGCTTTAGGCCTGATGTGGTCGGTGTCGGAGGAAACAGACGACAATCAAAGTCATCAGAAACATGCATCTCTGTGCAGTTTTATCAGAACATGACAGATTGGATCATTAGCAGTCACATGATGACAGACCCACACCCGATTTAGATCAATTCTGTATCTTTTAAGCAACAATGTTCAATTTAACACACCGATTTAAATTCTGCTTGTAAATGTTACCTGTGAACTGAAATTATGATCCGCGCCCCGAGAAAGTCTGGATGATCCCTCTTAAAATTCTCTGTAACCTCCTGAAACATTTTCAGAGTCCAGGTCTTATCGTGAATGGTCCCATCCAGCTCATACGTCTGCAACAGACACACGCTTTAGGAGGAAGGTACGTTTAGAGGATCGAAGTGAAGAGGAGAGCCAACAGACCCGTGACAGACCGCTCCTCAGCTCCAGATACATGATGTTGTCTTTGTGAAGCTCCTCTAAAGCCTGACGGTAGTAATCCCTCAACACTGGAGCGTGGGTGATGAGTCCGGCTGCCGCGATGAAGGCCTTCTCAAACTTCTCCCACACAACATCCTGGTTTGGATATTCCCCGTCTGGATCCTCGGTGAACAGCGTTAGGTGCTGCATTAAACTGGAAAATGCCCCCAAAAATAAAAACATTAGGCTGAGCTCCATTGTTAGATTTTGATTTAGAGGTTTAAAACCTCAAGTGTCTCTAGGACTTGTTCATGAGTGAGGGAAATATGGAGCACAAGATGGAAAGGAGGATAGGTGCCGCGTCTGCAGCGATGCGGGCGTTGTAGCGGTCTGTCGTGGTGAAGAGAGAGCTGAGCCAGGAGGCGAAGCTCTCGATTTACCGGTCGATCTACGTTCCTACCCTCACCTGTGATATGATGTATAATTGTAAAGTACATTGAATTGCCTCTGTGTTTGAAATGTGCTCTATAAATAAAGCTGCCATGCCTCACCTATGATCACGAGCATTGGGTGGCGACCGAAAGAATGTGATCGTGGATACAAGCGGCCAAAATGAGTTTTCTCCATCGGGTGTCTGGGCTCTCCCTTAGAGATGGGGTGAGAAGCTCGGTCATCCGAGAGGGACTCGGAGTAGACCCTCCCTGGGTAAGCGGAGGAAAAGAGATGGATGGATGGTTTAAAACCAGCCGTGTCCAAAGAGTGGTCTGGGGGCCTGCTCCCAACTGGAATGGCAGAATTGTAACACTCAGGCAGACTACTGGTGGGGATCAACACTTTTAAAAGTTCAGATTTTTACTAACTGGATGTATTTAAACAAATATCTCATATCTTTTTTAATTAGGGACCAGTGACGACATGTTTAGCCGCATGCTGTCCTTCAACCCCTGGCTGTCTAGGTGGTGTCCTGAAAACAACGTGGGCTACATTGATAATTGGAAAACTTTTTGGGGAAAACCTGGTCTGATGCGGAGAGACGGCATCCATCCCTCTTTGGATGGTGCAGCTCTTCTTTCTAGGAATATGGCCAGTTTTATTAGTCCTCCATGACTACCCAGGGTCCAGACCAGGAAGCAGAGTCGTAGTTTAACCCACCCCTCTGCAGCTTCTGTACTGTTACCCACCCACTACCCCATAGAGACAGTGTCCTGCCCACGGCCAAAACCACACAGATTAAATATCAGGCTTAATAAAGCAAACCATGGAAATCTCATAAATATTAGAACAAATTCAACTGAGCAGAAAACTAGAAAAATTAAATGTGGGTTGTTGAACATTAGATCCATTTTTTCTAAGACTTTGTTAGTTAATGACTTGATTTGTGATAATCAGATCTCTTTGCTCTCTCTCACAGAATCCTGGCTGCAGCAAGAGGACTATGTTAGCTTAAACGAGTCGGCTCCTTCAAATTATTTAAATAATCATATTGCTCGAAGTACAGGGCGAGGAGGAGGAGTAGCAACCATTTTTCATTCGGACTTATTAATCAGTCCCTTACCAATTAATAGCTACAGTTCGTTCGAACATCTTATTCTTAGTTTTCTTAATCCAGATTGCAAAACTGTAAAACCACTCTTGTTTGTAGTTTTATATCGTCCACCAGGTCCTTACTCTGAGTTTTTGGATCAGATCTCTGATTTTTTTATCTGATTTGGTGCTAAATACTGATAAGGTCATTGTAGTGGGGGATTTCAACATTCATGTGGACATTGAAAATGATAGCCTCAATGTAGCCTTTAGTAATATCTTAGACTCAATTGGCTTTACTCAAAGAATACATAGCTCCACCCACTCCCCCCATCATACATTGGACCTTGTGCTGACTTATGGCATTGAGTGTGAGGAAATAACAATCTTTCCACATAATCCAGTCCTCTCGGACCACTTTCTGATAACCTTTGAGTTTTTTATAACTGAGTTCTCGAGACATGAAAGTAAATTTCACTATAGTCGGTCTCTATCTGACAACGCAGTTGCATCTTTTAAATCAACTGTTCCATCTTTACTGTCCTCAGCATCTCAGAGGCATGTAGCAGAGGGCAATATTTTCAGTTCTAGCCCCTCACAAATTGATGCCTTAGTTCATCATGTTAATTCCTCCTTACGTGTGGCATTAGATGATGTAGCCCCTTTAAAAAAAGAAGGTAATTAGGGACAGGAAGTTGGCTCCCTGGTTTAATTCTCATTTACGAGCCTTAAAACAAAACTCTAGGAAATTGGAGAGAACATGGCGCTCTACGTACCATGAGGAGGCCTACCTATCCTGGAAAAATAGTCTTGTGCTTTATAAAAATAAGCTTCAACAGACTAGAACTGCTTATTTTTCAGCTTTATTTGAGGAGAATAAGCATAATCCTAAATTTCTTTTCAGTACAGTTGCTAAACTTACACAGAATCATAGCTCTGAGCCCTCAGCAGCAATGACTTCATGGGATTTTTTACAAGTAAAATTAATTCTATTAGAAACAAAATCTTTAGCATCCTCCCTAATGCGATTTCTTCTTCCTCAGTAAGTGAGGCAGCTTCAGAGGTGACTGTAGAACCTCATCTGTGCTTGAAACGTTTTGATCCAGTTGAGCTTTCAGAGTTATCAAAAATTTTAGCTTCATCTAAACCTTCAACTTGCATTTTGGATCCAATCCCAACCAAATTATTTAAAGAAGTATTTCCTTTGGTTACTGCCCCCATTCTAGATATAATCAATCTATCCTTAGTAAATTGGTATGTACCACAAGATTTTAAGGTTGCTGTAATCAAACCTTCACTTAAGAAGCCTTCTCTGGATCCAGATGACCCAATGAATTATAGACCAATATCTAACCTTCCATTTTTATTCAAAGTCCTGGAGAAAATAGTGGCCATCCAAGTATGTGAGCATTTAAACACTAATGCTCTGTTTGAGGAATTTCAGTCTGGTTTTAGAGAGTAACACAGCACTGAAACTGCATTAGTGAGAGTTACAAATGATATTCTCATGGCCTCAGATAAGAATCTTGTGTCTGTTCTAGTCTTGTTAGATCTCAGTGCTGCCTTTGACACAGTAGATCACAATGTTCTTTTAGAAAGACTTTAACATGTTGTAGGGATCAAAGGAACAGCGCTAGGCTGGTTTAAATCCTACCTGTCTGACAGGTTTCATTTTGTAAACGTACATGACAAATTGTCTTCATACTCCAGGGTTACTTGCGGAGTACCACAGGGTTCAGTGCTTGGACCAATTCTTTTTACTATATATATGCTCCCAATTGGTAAAATCATTAGACAGCATGGGATAAACTTCCACTGTTATGCTGACGATACTCAGCTATATTTATCCATTAACCCCGATGAACCTAATCGGTTAGGTAGATTACAGGCTTGTCTTGAGGACATAAAAAATTGGATGACTCTAAACTTTTTGCTTTTAAATCAAGACAAGACGGAAGGTCTCATCTTTGGACCAGAAATCCAGAAAAGGAAATTGCTTAGCCAATCGCCTGACCTTAATGGCATTACATTAATCTCCGAGAACAAAGCAAGGAACCTTGGTGTTATCTTTGACCAGGACAGGTCATTTAAATCCCAGGTTTCACAACTTTGTAGGATTTCCTTTTTCCACCTTCGGAATATTGCTATGATTAGAAGCATACTTTCCAGGAGTGATGCTGAAAAACTAGTTCATGCATTTATTACATCAAGACTGGATTACTGTAATTCATTACTCTCAGGAAGTCCACAGAATGTAGTTAAAAGTCTTCAGCTTGTCCAAAATGCTGCAGCTAGAGTTCTGATGAGAATTAAAAAGAGAGATCATATCTCTCCTGTCTTAGCTTCCCTACATTGGCCACCTGTTAAATTCAGAATAGATTTTGAGATCCTTCTTCTCACATATAAAGCTCTTAATAATCAAGGTCCATCATACATCAGTAATCTGATTGTTCCATATGTTCCTAACCGAGCACTTCGCTCTCAGACTGCAGATCTACTGGTGGTTCCAAGAATATCTAAAATTAGGATGGGAGGCAGATCTTTTAGTTATCAGGCTTCTCTCCTGTGGAACCAGCTCCCAGCCTTCGTCCGTGAGGCAGACACTTTGTCTACATTTAAGAATAGGCTTAAAACATTTTTATTTGATAGGGCCTATGGTTAAAATCTGATGTTAGCCTAAATCAGGACAAGTGGGGGAGTAGAGGGAGGTGGAGTGTACAGTCGGTAAAGACGACTCTCCCTTGCCCTGCCTCCAACATGCCTACATCTAAATAGGATAGATTATCCAGAGTTATCTCTGTAGTTATGCTGCTATAGGCTTAGACTGCTGGAGGATACACTGACCACTTCTCACACTCTACTGCTTTATTCTACAATCTGCTCTTTAACTGTATTATTTTGTGCAATTTCAGCTGTTAACTTTATTTTCTCTGTAAGTGTTTTTCTCCCCAGAAGAAGCGACAATGACGTTCTGCTGAGCTGTGGTGGCCTCATGGAGGGGGCCATCGACTAGCACACTGCTGCTAACCACTTAAACATTCTCTCTCTCTCCTGATAATAACTTTTTGGTTTCCTTGACTTTTGATGTGCTAATGCTAGTTTATCCGTTTAATTATAGATCCACTAGGATAAATACAATAAAGTTTATCTTTCACCAAATAGAATATTTACTAAGACATCATAATATAACTATAGACACATTACATGTCTGTGTGTGTGTGTGTGTGTGTGTGTGTGTGCGCGCGTGTGTGTGTCGTCTTGATCCCCAGTGAGTCGTGGAGGATGGCTGCTTATACTGAGCCAGGATTCTCTGGAGGTTTTTTCCTGATAAAAGGGAGTTTTCCTCTCCACTGTCGCTTTATGCTTGCTTAGTATGAGGATTGCTGTAAAGTCACTGACTTGATGCAATTTGCTGGGTTCCTTATATAGGAAACATTATTTCTGATTGGCTTAATGAACTGACCTGAATTGGAATTTTTATTATGTGAAGTGCCTTGAGACGACTCTTGTCGTGATTTGGCGCTATATAAATAAAATTGAATTGAATTGAATCTTTTTTCCAATTTATAAAAATCTAATTTTTGTTAGCATTGGGTGAGGAGCTTTAACTTTAGTCGGCCCTGGTGTTAAAAAGTTTTCACCTGTTATCAAATCCCGCATCGTCTCCGATTTTGGCTCGTAACGTCTCCAGCAGCTGCCAGTAGAAGCAGTCCCATCGAGGGAAGGGCTGGCGGTCCGAGAACAGGAAGCGGACAGAGTTGTCCCACGTGAAGCAGATGTAGCAGTGAGGTCGGTGGGTGACGTTTTTCACCAGCCATTCCACGCCGACCACAGACGAGCCGTGGATGTGGAGGGCGGCGCCTGTTTGCAACACAGCATCACATTACTCACATCTGTCCTTTTCTTTTGTTTTGGCTGCTGTGAACACGGACCCCACATCTGTCAGATTGCTGAGAACAAAAGAACCGTTTTAGTAAAATGAGATCAGTCATAACATCGTTTAAACCCAAAGCCACGTAGAGGCTGAGATTAAAGCAAGAATAATAGGAAATTACATTGATTAAAAGCTAAACATTACTGTTTTGTATCAAATTCAGAAAAAGTGACCAAAGGCTGAATGAGAAGAGCCAATCAAGAAGTCTGCTGCATCCTGAAAAATACCTTATGCAAGAAAGTCTGAAAGTCTTACTCTGCGGAAACCATGCTGACAGTGAGGCAAAGCGTTTACAACACCAAAAACTACCCAGGGTGTTACTGCTGGATGCAAAGACCAACATCTGCACCAGAATGAAGGTCTGACTAATGCACAGACATAAATATTGGTATAAATGTGCTGCCATTGTGCATATTCAAAATGTAACTGAATACTTCTAATTATTTCAACCATATTCACGTTTATTCATTCATATATATGAATATATTTCATATTTCAACATTTAAAGAGCAGAATTCCATATTTTTGTTTGATATGGACTCAGCAGAAGTGTGAACCATTACTCTCAGGAAGTCCACAGAATGTAGTTAAAAGTCTTCAGCTTGTCCAAAATGCTGCAGCTAGAGTTCTGATGAGAATTAAAAAGAGAGATCATATCTCTCCTGTCTTAGCTTCCCTACATTGTCTACCTGTTAAATTCAGAATAGATTTTAAGATCCTTCTTCCCACATATAAAGCTCTTAATCAAGCTCCATCATACATCAGTGATCTGATTGTTCCATACGTTCCTAACTTAGCACTTCGCTCTCAGACTGCAGGTTTACTGGTGGTTCCCAGAATATCTAAACTTAGGATGGGAGGCAGATCTTTTAGTTATCAGGCTCCTCTCCTATGGAACCAGCTCCCAGCTTTAGTCCGTGAGGCAGACACTTTGTCTACTTTAAAGACTAGGCTTAAACATTTTTATTTGATAGGGCTTATGGTTAAAATCTGATGTTAGCCTAAATCTGGACAAGTGGGGGAGTAGAGGGAGGTGGAGTGTACAGTCGGTAAAGACGGCTCTCCCTTGCCCTGCCTCCAACTAAATAGGATAGATTATCCAATTATCTCTGTAGTTATGCTGCTATAGGCTTAGACTGCTGGAGGATACACTGACCACCTTTCACACTCTACTACTTTCTTCTACAATCTGCTCTTTAACTGTATTATTTTCTGCAATTTCAGCTGTTAACTTTATTATTTCTCTCTAAGTGTTTTTCTCCGCAGAAGAAGCTACAATGATGTTCTGCTGAGCTGTGGTGGCCTCATGGGAGGGGGCCATCGTCTAGGACACAGCTGCTAACCACTTAAACATTCTCCCTCTCCTGATAATAACTTTTTGGTTTCCTTGACGATGAATGTGCTACTACTAGTTTACCCGTTTAATTATAGATTCACTAGGATAAATACAATAAAGTTTATCTCTCACCAAATAGAATATTTACTAAGAAATCAACGTTTGTGTTTGGTTGGGTTTGTTTGTTTGTTTGGTTGGTTGGTGTTTTCTCGATCCCCAGTGAGTCGTGGAGGATGGCTGCTTATACTGAGCCAGGATCTTCTGGAGGTTTCTTCCTGTTAAAAGGGAGTTTTCCTCTCCACAGTCGCTTTATGCTTGCTTAGTATGAGGATTGCTGTATAGTCACTGACACTAGTCAGTGACTTGATGCAATTTGCTGGGTTCCTTATATAGGAAACATTATTTCTGATTGGCTCAATGAACTGACCTGAATTGGAATTTTTATTATGTGAAGTGCCTTGAGACGACTTGTCGTGATTTGGCGCTACATAAATAAAATTGAATTGAATTAAACTTATTTGGCCCAACGTGGTTTATACATAGCTTATAATATATAACATTAAATCTAATCTTTCATTTAGGGAAAAGACAGGATTTTCCCAAACACACTGTTTTTTTTAGCAAAATCAAAATTAAACGTTTCAAACGATGAAAATAAAAATTTTTGGGCTCAGCTTTATTCCACCGTCCTTGTTTAAACTGCTCATCTTTACATGTATTTAGAATTTGTGCTTTTATTATCTTTTAACCAAGCGTGTTTTTATTCTTTTGTTAGTATTCTGTGATTTAACCCAATTTTATTTATTTCTGCAGGACGAGACTCCTTATTCTGCACAGTGTATTCAGACCATTTAAGCAAAGCTTAAAGGAAAAACCTAAAACGGGTGAAAGTCTACAGAGTGGCTTGTGACCTCACCTTTAGGCATCCTCTGCAGCAGCTTGAAGATCGGGCTCTTCTCGATGAGCGTCTTCACCTTAAAGAAGTGGACTGCAGGAGGAAACTGTGCAGCAGACATCTCCCGCTCCTTTAACTGGTGGAGGCGAGTGTCTAGCTTCTGCTCCGCCGCTGTCAGCGTTAGCAGACCTCCAGTCTGCCGGGAAGTCTCCTCACGCATCAGCAGGTCTCTGCGAGCTGGGTCAGGCATCCCGTCCGTCTCCCTCACAAGCCAGAGAAGGGGAACGGTGGTGAGCAGAGCCACGCAGAGTGAGATCGCCATGTCCACGTATCACACAGCCAGGATCTGGAACTAAAACATGCTGCTCTGCAAAAATCTGAGCTGAAAAGAACAAAAAAAAGTTAGTAAAGACTGGGAAAATGTAACAGGAAACTAAATAATCAGATCTAGGATGCACTTACGACACTCAGTCTTCTAAATGCTCAGCTTGTCTTCCACCAGAAACCGCCGCCGCGGCAAAATACTCCACAAGCAGCTGGATAATTAGAGCATTTTTTTGTCTGACTAATACCATGTGATAAACTAATGAATGAGGCATGAATGGGCAGGAAGAGACAAAAAGAGCACAGAGGAACGTCTAATTATATCTTTATGTTTTTACATTTGAACACGATCACAAACAAAAGCACACACAAATAATTTACTCAGGAAACCTCATTTACATACAGCATACCCTCTGAATAAGAACACACTCGATGCAACATCAATAAGTTACTGCTGACAGGTCGTTTACAGGGTTTGGTTTCTAGGATACCGTTTATTTGTGATTGGTTGGTGGCGGACATGCATTAGTCCCACAATACCCCATGCAACTCATAATGTGCTGCAGAAGTTAATGAAACGGCGACACAAGAGCCGGGTTTGTCATGAAGCCTGATCCGATTAGAGGTCAACCTGTTAAACACGCAGCTCGATCCCTGACTAATCACTGTAAACTCAGCCCACCGAAATAAAACGGGGAGAGAAACATCGACCTTACAGCTGTGCAGGAAGCCTCTGAGCACATCTGGACCGTTACGCTACAGCTTCCGTCGTTTCCCTTAGAAATACACAACACAGCACACAAACGAGTCTTTCCCTGCGTCGGCAAATTTCGTTTCACAGATAAAAGGAATGATGTCTTTCATAAAACAACGAGAAATAAAAAGGAGTGTTCCTCTGGAGTGCTGTGAAGGTCTTCAGTCCAAGAACTTGCGGTTTGGGTTGGTACCGAACAGAGCCACTCGGGTTTCAGGCATCATCTGCAAAAAAACGTAGAAATTAATGTTAAAAGGTCGTAAATGCAAGTGTCCACATTTCTGCCATTTGCACAATAACAGAGATAAAAACATAAAACAGAGCAATAAAATACAGTCAATCAATAAGAAACAAGCCAATAAAAAGTACTGATACAAACCTTACAATGGATGATAAAATAAGAGCAGTAAAAACTAAAATAACAGCTAACTGTTAAAAGCAAGGGTAAAATAGTGCGTCTTTAATCTAGACTTAAAACTGCCAAGGAGGATGCCAGTCGAACTGCGGCTGGAAGTTCGTTCCACATTTTAGGACCGGCAACAGAGAAAGCTCTTTGTCCGCATGATTTATAACACACTTTTGGTACCTCGAGGAGCAACAGGCTGGAGGACCTGAGTGTGCCACCGGGAGTATACATCGCAAGAAAATCAGAGAGGTACACGGGGGCAAGACCACAGAGGGATTTGAAAACAAAAAGCAATATTTTATATAGGACCCTGAAAGTGATGGGCAGCCAATGAAGGGAGAATTCAAAACCGCATTTATGTTGAACATAGGCAGCCTGGCGTGTCTGATGTACCATTTATTTATAGAGCGCCTCCCTAGATAAAAATCACAAATAACTTCACAAAAATAATTAGGAAAATTAAAAATGATTAAAAAAAATAATAAAGTGAAAAAAATTTGAAAAAAATAATCAAAACCGTAAATACAGGAGCCCAAAAGAAATGAGAGCAAAACCCGCACGAACAGAAGCCAATGAGGAAGAAGAGGATGAACAGGACGTCACACCAAAACCAGCTTGAACAAGTGAGTCTTCAGCTGCTTTTTAAAGGAGACCACTGAGTCCACTGATCTCAGGCTCAGGGGGAGAGAGTTCCAGAGTCTGGGGGCCACAGCAGCAAATGATCTGTCACCTTTGACCTTTAGCCTGGTGCTGCACAACCAGTAGGCTTTGATCACTGGACCTCAGGGACCTGCTGGGGGTGTAGGGACTAAGAAGAACACCAATGTAAGATGGTGCTTGTCCATGTAAGGTCCTGTAGACCAGAATCAGGATCTTGAAATGAACCCTGAAGTTGACTGGCAGCCAGTGAAGCTGGAGGAGAAGCGGGGTGATGTGGGTGTGTTTGGAGGACTTGGTCAGAAGCCGAGCACAGGCATTCTGAACCACCTGTAGACGTTCAGGGAGGTTCTGCTCAGACACGTGAAAAGAGAGTTACAGTAGTCTAAGCGTGAGGAGATGAAGGTGTGGAGAACTGTCTCAAGTTCAGAGCGAGACAGAATGGGACTCAGCTTAGGGATGTTCCTGAGATGGAAGAAGGAAGAGTGAATAAGAGAACTGACATGAGAATCCAGGGTGAGAGCTGGGTCAAAGGTCTGGTGCAAAAAGCCTGCGCCGCCTCCGACCTGCTTTTTTATGTAAATTAGTAATGGTGTAATGGCCACGGAGAAACACTTCAGTCTGAGAAAAGCTGGTTTAACACATCATAAGCTTAGACACACCTCCTTAAGCCTGCATGTCCCAACCAACGTCAACATCAGCAATAATTGTGTTATGTTGGTCACTGCAATGCTAACCGCAGAACAACGCTAGCCTAAGCTATTGCTAATGCCATCCCAAGTTACTGCAAACACATAGCATGAGCTACTGATAATGCTAGCCTGAGCTACCGCTAACGTCTTTGCTGGACAAGAAGAAAACGACAAAGAGGAACGTTCCAGGATGTACTGGGAATATCCAGACTTTGAATGAATGCCAGATAGATCCATAGCTTGTCTGCTGAGTAATCCGAATACTTTATACAGTTGTGCACACAGATTCTTGATTCAGGCAGAGTAATGGAGCCATCTGGGCAAATTAACCAATCAGCACACAGGTCATTTAATATTCATGCCCTGATCGAGTGGGCGGGGTAAACCAGTCTTTATTGTAAGGCAATGTGTGTGAACATTTATCAGCGCTCCTGGGCCATTTTGAGCCCCAACAAAGTTTCAAATGTTATATAGAGGCTCAAAGAACAGCTTCCTACTGAAAAACTGTTGTTCTAGAACCCCTTTAAATCAAAAAGTCAAGTCAAAATAAGTATAAAAGCACCCAAAAACATCCCCCTTTTTATTGTGTGACAAATGATGTCACTAGCAGTCTCTCAGTTTAAAGTTGTACCTACTAATCAGATTTTGTACAATGCGTTTAAAAAGGTAGCCTGATTTCAGAACAACAGTGTGCTCTTAATATTAAAGACATTTGGTAATCAACCATTTAATGAGGAGGGGAGTTCTTCATTAAAAAGGCTTAAAAGATGCAAGAAAATCTTAAAGTGTTTCAGCTTGGAGCAATTCTTTTAATTTCTGTTAAATCGGTTTTTGTAATTGGATGGTTTCTGGGATCTAAGGGCATAAAACAAATGAACTGTGTTTAAAAGCTGGTCATGTTTACCTGCTGAGCCATGAGGTCCAGTCGGCTCTCCAGGGTGTTGGACACTTTAATTTTCCCGTCGTTGTTAAACATCTCAATACCTCCAGATCTTCAGAGACACAAACATTTAATTAAATAAGTTTAACTTCCAGCACAAACGAAACGTGTGTGGTCTGATTCATCATTAAACGTAGACGCCACGCACATATCCGGAGACAGGAAGTTGTCCGAGTCGATGCGGACCTCTAGGTTGTTCTTCACAGCTGCTTTATAAATGGGGATGTTCCTCTGAACGGATTGCTGCAACATGCAAAGGAACAGAAAATATTTAAATAAAGATTTCAACCAAATTATATCAACTCATAGAAAACTTCCTCACCTGCACCAACTGGACGTCCTGTTTACGGCAGCGAATCGTCACTTTGGGCTCCAGCAGCTGGTAGAATCCCTGGTGAGAGAAATTTATCATGGGTCAGCAAACGAGGAAACTCGTTTTTGCAGCACATCAGAGCTTGAAGCTACAATCAGGCGAGAAAAAGAAAAAGCTCCAACCGGTGTGCAAACGCACCTGTAGGATTAAGCCGTCCATCAGAGTTGAATACCTGGCTGAATCTTTAGCCACGTTGGCGAGCCGCTGACGGGCCTCGTTCAGCATTTCCTACGAGAGCAAACACACAAGTGTGTATTCCTGCTTATATAAATGTAATGATGTGTGTGTGTGTACGGTGGCTTACTGAGATCATGTCATCCCGGGCCTTTAGCACCTTCAGTCGAGCCTGGTTCATCAAGTTTGACATTTGGCTGTTAAAGCAGACAAATAACAAACACATTGGACTTGCTTAGATATCAAAGAGGGGTTATTTTTATCCCAGCAGACAAAAAGGGCCGCGAAAGGGTGAAGCTGTTAGATAAAATTACAGAAACACAGTTGCTCATAAAGCTGCGGGGGGGGGGTGTCCTGTGATGTCCCGTCACGACTCACATTTTCTTCTGTTGCTCAATCTGCTTCTCCTTCTTCTCATAGTACTCCATTATCTTCAGCCTTTGGGTCTGGACCAGGCGACCCTTCTCAATGTTGAACTCCTCCTCGGCCTGCAGGGGGAGACGCAGCTTACTCTGAGGAATCCTCCAGAATATCTTTAATTTGCCACAAAGGCTTTCTAAAGAAATGCTGCATGGATTTGTTGCCTTATCTCCAGAAATACATCAAAACTTTCAGCAAAAACACTTGTTAAACAATAGAGATTATTCTGTGATTAATTGATATTAATTAATTATATAAATTTTATATGGAATATGTTTGTATCTATAAATATATACAGTAAAAATACAAAAAGTGATGCTGATTCACCAAAAAATAAAATAAAACGTACAAACAAAACAAAGCTAATACCAATAATGGTATTTTAATTTTTTTGTTATAATTTAAAAAAATGTAAGTAAATAAAAAATGTTTTCATAAACTTTCTGTATAAAAAACATCTGCTTAAATCTAAACTATCAATATTAATTATACTTTTATTAGGAGCTTTCAATCTAATCTTTAAAACATAATAAAAGCTTTTATAAAAGTAACTGTAGTTTCTGGTTCTGATGAACTGTTGTGATTATTCGGATTGTTTTAAAGCTGCATCTTTTATACCTTAGGTCATATTTTCCCATTTGGTGCTCATTTAGCGCCCTCTAGTGACAAGTCTCGTTGGTACACTTATGGCAGGAAGACTAATAAAATGTGATGTGGCGTTTGTAAGGTCACCTTTTCAATGTGACAGCTTTTTTTATGAATTCTGTTAAAAAAAATTTCTTCGGCATTTGCCTTTCTGAAAATATTTTACCATACAACAGGTCTGCAATAAACCAGATTTGGTTCAAACCTGCCATCCATCAGCATCTTAAAGGTCAATAAGTAAGAAATAAATGTTAGTTTTCTGAATGTTTACTACTCCATCTTTCATCTCTGAACTGATTGTAAATAAATAAATAAAAATCCCACAATGATGTTCAACCCCCACAGAGAGTACTGTCAAAATTAGGAATTAACCATCAAATAGGCAGTTACTTTATGTTGAGAATTACACTTGTTCTGGTGTGTTATGCAGCAGCTAATAAATTGGTCATTTTTATAAATAATTGTCTATCATTTGAATCTCTGAGAATTTCATTGTATAATAATGAGACAGAAATGCTGCGTTTATCCATGTGAATCTGCTTTTCCTGAGAAGGCTTTGTGCGTATATTCTTACTAACAGACTTATAAAATCAGAGTGCCTTAAAAATAAAGAGAAAAAAACAATTAAATTATCAACTAAGGCTTTTAAAATGACAAATAATGACTTGTTTCCAGAAAGAGAAATGCACGACTGTATACCTTTGCATCAATTTCCTCTGCCTTCTCATTTGCCTCCTGCTCAATGAAGGCCATCATGTGCTTAATCTGTAAACAAGAACAAGAAATAGAAATGAGAACCAAGACACTGTGAAGGTCTTACTAAATGTAAAGACAACAAACACTTGTCAGCTTTAAAAAATGCACGTTGCTTTAGAACAGACCCAGAATTTTCCATCTGTGTGATCGGTCCACAGAGGTTCATAAAAAAAAATCACTCAGATTAAAATTATTCATCAGAATTATTTATTCAGATTTATATGTATAAAAAATAAATAAATAAAAGCACAGCTCGTGTGTTTTCTCTGAGTTAAAGTTGGGTTTCACCTCCTGCTGTGAAAAGTTGACATGAGATGTTAATGTTTTAGTTTACCAAAGTTCACCAAAACAGGCAGGTGAATGCAGGAAAATGCACTCATATCTGGTTCCTTTCTGCTCGTATCATCTCATTATCTCTTCATCCGGGAGAAATTGTTGAACATTTTCAGCAAATAAATTTACTATTTGCAACAAATCAGCAGAAAGATGAAAAAGATCAAACGAAAACCTGAATCTGGACCTAATCATGATGCATCAAGTTTCCAGATTTAAAAAATAATAATAAATAAAAGCTCAACGATGGCGATCGAATAACAATTTTGTTCCTGTTTATATATTTTACAGAGTTCATGAATTCAACTAACAAACTGTGTTTTGTCCTGACATCCTGCTGGTAACCAAAGCACCATATACCATTTATAACCATGCTTTGCCTCGTTGTTTGTGTGTAGACAACACTGGCACATCCCTGGAATTTGGGTTATTTAAAGGACGATTTTTCCATAAAAATACTGACTCACTCCAAGTTCCTCATCTGGCTCATGTGTTCATCATGTGATCTAAGAAATCTGACCCTGTCAGCCAAAATGTCTCTTATGCACGAGCTGGTAAAGCACCGTTTGCAAGAGGAAATCCGATTTCATGAACAAAAACAATTCATTTACCTCTGGAACGGTAAAGAACGTATTTAGCAACTCATTCAGAGCTAACCTGCTCAATGTCATCCTCGATACTAACACCAGCTAAAAAAACACCTTTTTAAAGAGCTGTAATTGCCACCCCATGTTATAAACAGTCGATTTGATCCATTTAATTTTTTTTGCCATTTAAAGACTATAATAGTTTATTATTACCTGCTTCTGAACGTCTGCATCGCTGAGCGCCATGGTTGGATTTACGGAGGCCTGAAAGACAAAAATACATTAACAACATCAAAGAACTCAACGAAAGTACCAACAACAAAAGAACGATTTAACTAACGACAAAATGTTTTGGGTAAGTGTAAATGTACCCGAGAAACACTGACGAGTGGGTTTGAATTAATCGCTACAGTCGTGACCGTAAAGACGTCCAAAGCAAGTCAGCTGACTATGAAGTCACATGACTTCCGGTTCTTTTTCCGGAAACAAGCTGTTATGCTTATTACCGCCATCTCGTGGAGAAGAAGTGCAAAACATGCTAATAGACGTTCAAAACAGATTAATACAAATAAATGATTTTCTTAATCTATCTTATATCTTTTAATCATATTAGTATATTTCATTATTCCACTTATGTGTGTGAATGTGTGTGTGAATGCATGAATTATACAGTGTAGTGTAAAGCCCTTTGGAGTCCTCAGACTCTGAAAGATGGGTCATTTATCATTTATATTTCAGAAAGTCCCGTGAGATTTTAATTTATTATCTTTCTTTATCATTACAACAAAAAGCCAAATACAACATTTTAATTATTATAAATGCAAAATGTTTACTAAAACACTTTAAATAATATTTTTTTTATTAATAACTGAATATTCAATAATTCTTTAATTGTTTGTTTTGTAAAGTTGGTATCTTTTTTGCTTACCACCACCACCACCACCACCACCACCACAACTACTACTACAACTACAACTACTACTACTATTACTACGTACAACTACTACTACTACCACTACTACTCAAAATAAATCATACATTTTTCTGTTAAAAATAAACAATGAAACACATGCAGTAAAAATGGTAAAATTATCTTGTGCTAACTGTATACAACTACATTTAAAATAATATAAACATAGCCTATTTTCTGGAAATGTATTTCTTTGTCAATTAGCATCTTCTTCCTCTTCTTCTTCAATATTAATATTAAAATGAAGAAGAAATTCAGTGTTTGTAGACGTGTTTTTTTCACATATATGAAATGTTTCATAAATAGATGAATTAATAGAGAATTCGGCTTTTTACAGTGTTCACTTTCGCTGTTCTGTTCAAAACAACATTTAATTTGATTTAGTTAGAGGTTTCATGTCTACACGAGTTTTAATTTTCTTGATCAGCTGTTTTTATTTTTTATTACAACATTTTATACTTTTCCTTTGATCAGTTCCACAGTGGTTTAAATTCAATGACAGGAGAATAACTGAAAGCACAAATAAGATAAAGCAGTTGACTGTATTTTCATATAAGTAGAATACTTTCTCAACTAAAACAGACCACAGTCAAAGTACAAAGCTTCTCAGAAACAGTCAGGCCTGCCCTTTGGGCCAGCCTTGCTGCTTGTTCTCATGTCGATGCTGAGTGTGAGCAGCAGGGGGAACCAGAAGCTGGAAAGTCCACCTTTAGAATCAGAAATAGCTCTTCTCCCTGTCTGACATGCATTTTCCACTCAGTGTCCCAGAGTCCCAGCACCTGCTGTGCTCTCTAATCCGCCGTTTGGACAGAGACAGCATTCACCTGAGCGAAAAGACGGATCCTCAGAATTTAGCTGAGATCACAAACAAAAGGCTGAATTCGAGTCCAGGGTGAACTTTCACTCACATTCTCAGTGTTTACTTACATTGTTTGCACTGTTTCCTAGTTTGGATGAACAGCAGAGTCATGATTGACTCCTCTCCTGCAAACTGTTATGTCATGGATTTGTGAGGTGGGGTGGGGGGTAGGAGCGACTTGTGCACAGCTTGTCCACCTTGTTCTTCCCTTGCCAGCCCCAGCATGCATGCCTGCCTGTCTGCTCATTTGTATCCTTGTCTCTGACCTGCTCCTCGACTCCTCCAGCGTCCCCCCACAGAAAACAGAGGTATGCTGGGATTTTCCTTCTCTTGATTTGAACTCAAACATTAACTTATGCTGGGTAACTCTAGCCAGAAAAAGAATAGTGTTCTTCCACAAGTTCTGAGGCTTTTGTCATCACATGTGTGCTGTTTTTGTTTGAAGATGAGCCAAATGTCACCTCGTGTCAGGCACCATTTCTTTCCTTTTCAGCACACTCTCTCCCACTTTGACATTGGCTGCTGACCTTCTCTAAACTGCGCTGGCTAACATCCTCTGTCCTCATCACACAATTAGCCCAGAAATCTCATCATGTAATTTATCAACGAACGTGCAGGATCAGTAGGAAGTGGGACAGCCAGGAAAAGGTGTGTCAGAGGTCAGATTCTGAGCTGACATGAAGGATTTAAATAGCTTGTGTTGTAAACTTTAATGTCTAAATCAGGCCTGTCTTGTCGGGCATAAAATCTCTCAGGGAAGCTACTAAAAATTCATAGAATACATGGGAATATGAAAAAAGCAGATTTAACGTCTCTGAGCGCAAAGAAAACAACCGTAACCTCTGATAATTTAGCGTTAGTTTGTCTTGAAGGAACACAAACATGTGTTGCATAGCAGGCCAGAACGAGAAGTTGCCTTTTCCCTGTGAGAACACTCTTATTATGGGCAAATTTAAGTCAAAATGTTTGTTTCTGTACACTTTTTCCTCACACGCTGATGCAACGGGAGTTTTTTTGTATGCACGTGGATGAAAGCTGTGAGGTAGAATTCATAAACGACTGAAAAGTTGGAAAAGAATAAAGAATGAACGAGTGAGTAAGTAAAAGGATTAAACAGAAATAGGATCAGTAAATTACTGACAGGAGAAAACTGTAGTTTAACAGAGCTTTATTTTTAACTAGATTATAATCATATTTCATTACATACCAGCAACTTGCAGTATATTTGCAATTTTTCCCCAAAAGTAAAATTGCAAATGTTTAACAAATGTTTGCATAATTTGGCATCAAGACATTTGTCAGAAATTAAAAACAAGTTTCACCATAAGTACAAAGATCCCCGCGTGATTATTAACCAGAATCGTCCTGCTTGGTTTTATGATTACATCAAAACTTTATCTACATAATTGCAAAAGTTCTGAAACCTGAATGTTTTCTTCAATAAATAAGTTTTTTATTTATTTGCATTCAACTTTACTTACAATAAAACGTGATTTAAAGGAACTTTACGGAGTTTTGAATTTTTATGCTCAAGATTGCCCCCTCAGGCCAAAAGCGTAATGGCAGCTTCAATAGTAGGCTCGTGCACGAGGCGCGCATGCTGTACGTGCACACTCCTTAACGAAAATAACAGCTGAGACAGTCCCTTGTGTGTGTGTGTGTGTGTGTGTGTGTGTGTGTGTGTGTGTGTGTGTGTGTGTGTGTGTGTGTGGCCCGGAGGACAGGAGAATGCGCAGCTAATTAATTAAATAATTTGGTTCTGTACCTTTCTCTTCAGCACAGCCGACAAAGGTTTATGATGGGTCAGTCCTCCTGCATGCTCAGATCATTCCCTTGCTTGAAAAATTGTTTCAAAATAAAAATTGAACCCACATCTTTTTTATCTGTGAATTCAATGCCGTTCGGCGAGTCTCAAATACAAATTTGGGCATCTTACTGTAAAAAAATATATCACTAATGTAAAAAAGAAACTCTAAATAAACTATGTTCACATCTGGAAATGAATCCAGATCTTCTGCATGAGAGTCCAACATCTTACTAGGTGAGCTAAAGCACCAGTGACAGCTTTTGTATCTGTAACATTTATATCCTTGATGACAGCTGAAACAACGTTCAAAGCAGGGTTCGGAGCGAAAATGGCTATTTTGTTGCTAATTTGCAGGAAATATCTAGAAGAAAGTTCTACAGAAAGTAGCTAAGGGTCCTCAGAAATGTAGCTAGCTTTGTCACTAGGCGTTAGGAACAGCGACAAAGTGGCACTACCTCTCTCTCTGCTGCTAAAGCTACGGATAGCAAATGCTACGAGCTATGCCGGAGCGTGAACGCGCATGAAGCAGCCTGCTCGACCCGAGCATCTCTCTTTTTCTGTGATTTTACAGAAAAACAGGCAATCACAGTAAAAATGCCAGGGCTCATTCTACAGGACCAGGGCATTGCAGGAGAATGTATGAAGAAGACATTTATTATTTCTATACATGTTTTGACTGTCAAACTTCCATAATGCCCCTTTAAATTCTTTATTTCAGACACTTTGGTTTGAGATCCTTTAGGGCTCCCTTAAGCTCTCTCTTCACCACAACAGACCAGTACAACGCCCGCATCACTGCAGATGCAGCACCAATCCACCTATCGATCTCACGCTCCATCTTTCCCTCACTCGTGAACAAGACCTCGAGATACTCAAAGGGTCCAAATAAGAAAAATAAGTAGAATGCCAGAAAAAAAGTTATTTTTCAAAATGAAACAACACATTTTAATATGTAATGCTAACATTTTACAAGAAGTTTGCCTTTATTATGTTACTTAGTGCATTATTAAGCATTAATAACAAAGAATCTCTTCATTAATGTTTCTGACATTGTTAACTATTAAGTGTCCTTAAGGTAAGGACAAAAGGACGGGGATGTCTGCTCAGTAATGCATTACATAACAATAACAGTAATAGTAAGCAGTTGTTAATACTTTATTAATGCTTAATAACATAATGTTGATAAAGCGACCCCCATTGTAAAGTGTTACCAATATAATAAATAAATAAACTTTCATTTAAAAATTAAGTCAATTACCATTAGTCATTATTTCTGCTGTAATGTTCAACAAGTCTTGAATTATTTTGGTTTTGTGGACGAGAACAGCTGTTCAAGCCCGGAGGAGTCTGTCATCATGAAGACATGAACTCTAAAACCAGGGAGAACTCTGATGAGATACTGTAGTGAATCCGATCCAGCGTTACAGAGCAAAGAGGAACCGTTACAAATATCTAATCTGGGATTGGTATGAGGCGGGGGGGGGGGGTTACGGCACAAGGAGTTCAACCAGCAACCGAGGGGCCCTGAGAAGATTAAATGAAAATTGCTCGTTTGAGGTGGGATCTATTCCTTAAAAAGGTGATCTGAAGGATTTTATTGTTCTTCTTGCAGATTAAAACATAAAAAAGAAACCTCTAACTTGTTATTTCCGTGTTAGAAGTACATTCTTTGGTGTCATATGAAGCCCAAGAGCTCCCATTCTTGGTTGACAGATGAAGATGCATCTAAAGATAGTAAGATATGCAAGTGGAGGCTATAGATAGCCGCAGTCGCTGTAATACGCAGTCAGTGAGTAGGGTTTTCCAACCGCAGAGCCGACGTCAACAACAGCCCAAAGTGCACATTTCATCTCAATTTATCTTCTTTTATTTGCACAGAAATTATTCAGCTCAAAGCCAAAGAAATCCCCTCTATGATTCACGTTCTGATGGAAAAGTTCACAAATTATTACAAACGATACGATGAAAGACAAAAAAATTTAAATCAATTTTTTCACTTAAATTATTTCTAATCCAGAACCTTTTCAGACATTTCCTAAATAGAAGAAAAAACCCTTTTAGTTAAGGATTTATTAGATCTGTTATTTTTTGTTGTGTTTAGGATTGCTTCTGTTTTTGTGAAGTGAAAAAAACTTTTTTTTTTAGTAAGGAGTGCAAGCTACTTCTAAATGGGTCCATACTTTAACTCCTTTATCAAATATGATTGAATTCATCATGCAGTCAAAGTGTTTGAAATGAATGACCTCTAAGTGAGGTGCTTACTGATGACAGTGGTTTCTGCAGGCTGTTCCAACAGAATCAGGTAATTTGTGGTTGATAAGTAAAACCAAATGGAGCCTACACTCACTGGCCACTTTATTGGGCACACCTTGCTAGTACCGGGTTGGACCCCCTTTTGCCTTCAGAACTGCCTTAATCCTTCGTGACATAGATTCAACAAGGTACTGGAAACATCCCTCAGAGAGTTTGGTCCATATTGACATGATGGCATCACGCAGTTGCTGTAGATTTGTCGGCTGCGCATCCATGATGCTCTGTTGGATAAAGATCTGGTGACTGTGGAGGCCATTTGAGTACAGAGAACTCGTTGTCATGTTCAAGAAACCAGTCTGAGATGACTAGAGCTTTGTGACATGGTGCATTATCCTGCTGGAAGTAGCCTTCAGAAGATAGGTATACTGTGGTTATAAAGGGATGACATGGTCAGCAACAATACTCAGGTAGGCTGTGGCGATGCAACGATGATCAATCAGTACTAACGGGCCCAAATTATGCCAAGAAAATGTCCCCCGCACCATTACACCACCACCACCAGCCTGAACCGTTGATACAAGGCAGGATGGATCCATGCTTCATGTTGTTGACACCAAATTCTGACTCTTCCATCCGAATGCCGCAGCAGAAATCGACTCATCAGACCAGGCAACATTTTTCCAATCTTCTATTGTCCAATTTTGGTGAGCCTGTGTGATTGTAGCCTCAGTTTCCTGACAGGAGTGGCACCTGGTGTGGTCTTCTGCTGCTGCAGCCCATCTTCCTCAATGTTCGACATGTGGTGCATTCAGAGATGCTCTTCTGCACACCTCGGTTTTAACGAGTGGTTATTTAAGTCACTGTTGTCTTTCTATCAGCTCGAACCAGTCTGGCCTCTGACCTCTGGCATCAACAAGGCATTTTCACCCACAGAACAGCCGCTCACTGGACGTTTTCTCCGTAAACCCTAGAGATGGTTGGGGTCAGGGTGTGTGATAATCCCAGCAGATCAGCAGTTTCTGACATACTCAGACCACCAGCCCCTCTGGCACCAACAACCATGCCACGTCCAACGTCACTTAAATCACCTTTCTTCCCCGTTCTGGAACTCGGTTTGACCTGCAGCGGATCATCTTGACCATGTCAACATGCCTAAATGCACTGGGTTGCCACCGTGTGACTGGCTGATCAGTAATCTGTGCTAAAGAGCAGTTATCAGGTGAACCCAATAAAGTGGCCAGCGAGTGAATAATCATTTTTGGATATTTTTAAATGTCAACAAGTGATTAAAATGTTTAAATTAACATGTTTAAAAAGCACAACTGTGATGTAAAATTGTGCAATCTGAGAGCAGATATCTGAGAGGATATTCAAACCCACCTTATAATTATTTATGTTTTAATCTGCACTTTTCATCTCTTCAGGACATTGTAGGGAGTTTGTCCCTCCTCTGATCTTTGTGCAGCAGCCGGCCTTCATTCTGGAGGGAAAGGAGCCGGTGGAGTCCAGGAGAGGCGATGGGAGGAGCAGTCCTGCCTCTCTGCCTCTGACCCAGACCCAGAGTCCTGGACCCTGGCAGAGTGAGAGTCTGCTGGCGGAGTCCTGGTCCACGATGGGCGACGTGGATCCGGAGGACACCAAGAGTGTTGACAGCAGTGATGGAGCAGTTCTAGCTGGAGAGGAGAACCACTCCTCCAACTCGGACATGGTCCACCTGGAGCGAGAAGAGGCAGAGATGCTGGAGGATGAGGAAGAGGAGGAGAGGAGATGGGAGAAAGAGGAGGGGGGCGATCTGCAGGCGAGTGTGCTGAGCATGCTTGGTGGAGAAAGGGAACTCCGGGCTCCAGAAACTGAGGAGGTCCTGATGTCGGTGGAGGGGCCTCACACTGAAAGAGATCCAGCAGAGGTCAGGCAGGTGGCTCCCCCCATGACCCTGCCTCCTCTGCCCATTGTCAAACTGGACCCCCCCTCCACAACTTCCACGCCTGTCCCTTCAACCACAGCGTCTGAAGTAGAAGATTTTTGTTCTACTCAGAGCCTTCAACCTCCTTCAATCCTCACACCTAGAGCTGCAGAACCTCCAGAACGGAGTCTGGGTCAGCCGAAGTTCTCAAACATCCCCCTCTCAGATGCCGAGGAGCATCCAGTTAAAAGTGACCGGCTGAAGAAAAGGGAGCTAAACCCGAGAGCTCGTCAGACCAAATCTCTGAGCTCCTCCGAGCTGCTGTTTGGAGGAGCAGCATTAGTAGCTGTTGTGGGTGTGGTGGCCTACGGTGCCGTGGTCTACTGCAAAAAGTAGGAAAAATAAACTCTTAAAAACACAAATCCTTTCTGTTTTTAAACCAATTCCTAATAAATTATTCCTCCTCAGTCTTTTAACAGATGGTTCTCTTTCTGAACTCTGTTTTCTGCTACCTGAGCTCCCAACTCTGACTTCCTTAAAAACAACACATTTCTGTTGAACTCAGATTTAGCTCTGCATGAGTTAAAATGCAGCATAGATAGTAAAACATCATGTGATCAGAGAAAACTTGGGCCTCCATCATCTGGCTTGTTTTATCGCATGTTGTAAATGAAGGCGCTGGTCTGACCAGAACAGCTTAATGAAACTGTTGTCCAAAACCTCAAAATTTGCTTCCAGGACATTTAAGGTGAACGTTCTGTGTGAAAAGGGCAAAATATTTACATGCAAACTCAGAGGTAAACAGTTTGCATGCTGAAGTACGTAAACCGAAACAAAGAAAAACTACAACACTGAACTTCTTCTATCATTCTTCTTTTTCCAGATGCACTCATGCAGGACACGCTGATCTCAGAGATAATGATTACACCTCTGTGGTCACACCAGCTTTCAGCCAAACAGACTGATTATACATGAATGGCTCTGTCACTTCTTGATTTTCATCGAGTGCCAGTAAAAAAAAAGAACAATAGGGTCGAGTGTGCTGCGGTTTGCCTGCCGCTCCCACACCGCAGCCAGCATGCATGCAGTTATTGAAATGAAAAAGGGGAAGGAAAGTGTCTCTTTGTTTGCAGAGATACAGCTGCAGCTGCGACAAAACTCTTCACACATACACATCAATCTACCGCTAACCACCTCCCATACCTCTAAACGCGTTTATGAGCACTATCAATATAAAGAGAATTAAAAATGATGGAATCAAATGAAAATAACAGAATGGATTTTGCATAAAAGTGAAGATCTCGTTATTTACCGTAAATCCTTTAATATTGCCCTGTATTCAATTAACGGCCGGGTCTCATATTTTGGCCGGTGTCAGAGTCGGCGGAGGTGAATAATGGCCGTTTTTTTTATTGTGGCCGGGTGGAATGTGGTAACAAGCAAGTACGGGGGGCGGTTGTGTCATCCGTCTCACTTTTAATTTGCCAGTGATAGACCGCGAGGGTAACTTTAACCGTGCGGAGACGAAGAGGAGGCGAAAATTTGATATCAAGTTCAAAGAGAACGTGCTGATTATGCTGCAGAACACTCTGGGGAGCAGTAGCAGGGGTTGTATGAACTAGTCACTAGTCGACTTCACCACTCTATAGTGACTTTTTATGCCTGTCATCGACTAGTCGCTGTCACGTGATAATGACCGGCAAGATGCAGTCCTCGGAAAAGACAGCAGCCTGCTGTCAGCAGGTGACGAGCTCCTGTGCGTCGGGAGGCAACGCGCTGTGCCAGAGCGTCGGTACTGACACCCGCCGTAAAATGGTCATTTAACCAAATTGTGACCTTTTCCCTCTTGCAATTTAACCTTCCCCTCACCCCCATCCTAACCTTAACCAGCTTGCGCATGCAAATTTCTGATTTTTGACGCGCTCCAGACATCTGCGTCCTGAGCACGGCCACAGTAACATTATCAAATCAGATGTCGCCACCTCAAAAACTAATTTAACACACGATTGTTCATGTCGGCTCATTTCCTTTAATGTTTTCTATCTTTTATTTGCGCCTGATGTGTTTCGCTGCTGTGGAGCAGGGCGCATCACCTGTTTTGTCCTCCGGTGACGCACCTCACTGATGCGGCCGCCAAGCAGCGAGCACTCCGCTGTTTTTGCGGTCGGTAGCTCTTTTAGAACTGCAGTTCAAAGGTAACTCATGAGGTGAATATAGATGAAGCCAGGTAGCAGTTTTTCTTTAGGATTGAGAGGAGATGCAGAAGATAATAAACAGGCAGGACAGAAAAATAGTCAAATAAAAACAAGTTAGCTTTTGTACCTGGTGGTTGCAACAAACAGACACCATTGAAGGTAATCAGAAGTGAGGAACAGAAAATGAAATAATTATTTTAATGTTTAGAGCAGCAGGAACTCTGAGAGGCTGCAGGCGCATCAGTGAGTTTGCGGCCGCTGCGCAGGGGGAGGGGGGAGAGGGCTGAAGCAGAAACTACCGTTGTTAAAAGAAATGTGTTTAACTTTGAAAATGTGGACGCAATTTTAATTGTCAAAAACTCCAGTGAACCATTAGTTCATTTTGCTCAAATAGAAATAGAGGCCTGCCTCTAATTCTGGTCCTCCTTCCAATAAAGGCCTGGAGCTTGATGAGCTTGAGTCAAATACAGGCCCGGGCCTGTATTTGAGGATTTACGGTAATTAATGAAAATTTAGCTAAAAAAGTTTTAAAAGTTTTATAAACAAAGATAAATTGAGACAAGTACGTGTGAAGCTACAGTTCATTCATGTTAAAAGAAAGAAAACTTTTCCTCTGGCTACATGAGTCATTTAATCTCTGAAACACACACACACATACACCCACGCACGCACACACACACGCCTGAGGGCAAGTCAATTTCAAACTCCCAACAAACCTAGCATGATTTAAGTTTGGTGAAGGAACCTGAGAACCTGATAACAGCTCTACACGTGCATGTGTACGTGCACAAAGAGAACATATAAAACATATAAACTGCACACAGAACAGCCACTGCTGAGTTTTGAGCCTGCAACCACTTTCCTGCTGCGTGACAGCAGAAAAGAACAATCTTTACAAAGCGCCTCTCAAGATAGAAATGACGAGGCGCTTCACAAGAACAACATTTAAAAATAAAAATGATTAAAAAATATTATAGAAATGGGAAAAGTATTTTGTGATAAAAATGTAAGGAAAGATAAAAAGAAAAGTAAAAAGGAAAAGAAAGAGATAATCAGTGGATCCTGGAAAAAGGCAGAATTGGTAGAAATAGCAGAATGAAGAGAACGATGAAAGTCACTAAAACCAGCCTGAACAGGTGAGTTTTCAGCTGTTTAAAGGGGACCACTGAGTCCACTGATCTCAGGCTTAGGGGGAGAGAGTTCCAGAGTCTGGGGACCACAGCAGCAAATGATCTGTCACCTTTAGTCTTTAGCCTGGTGCTGCACAACCAGTAGGCTTTGATCACTGGACCTCAGGGACCTGCTGGGGGTGTAGGGACTAAGAAGATCACCAATGTAAGATGGTGCTTGTCCATGTAAGGCCCTATAGACCAGAACCAGGACCTTGAAATGAACCCTGAAGTTGACTGGCAGCCAGTGAAGCTGCAGGAGAAGCGGGGTGATGTGGGTGTGTTTGGAGGACTTGGTCAGAAGCCGAGCACAGGCATTCTGAACCACCTGTAGACGGTTCAGGGAGGTTCTACTCAGACATGTGAAAAGAGAGTTAGCCACAACCTTTTCCAAGATGTTGGAGATGAACGGGAGTTTAGAGATGGGTCTGAAGCTGCTATGGAGAGAGGCATCAAGACTCGGTTTTTTAAGAAGGGGGTGGATTACAGCATTCTTAAAGTGAGCAGGGACCTGACCAGACACCAGAGAAGCATTAGTAATGGAGAGCACGTTGGGACCGATGGACTGAAAAGCACTTTTAAACAAAGATGAGGGTAAGATGTGGAGGGGGCATGCAGAGGTCTTCATAGAGTTAACTAGTTTGGTTAACTCAGGCAAAGAAACAGGAGCAAAGCAGTCCAGGATGATTGGCCAGGCTGGAGTCGGGAGAGGTAGAGATAAGGCTGAGGGGGAGATGCTAGATCTAACCTTACTGACTTTGTCCACAAAAAAAAAGAGAAAGTTTTCAGTCTGCAGCAGAGCAGATGGAGGCTGTAGGAGAGGCAAACAACACCTTGGGATTCCCTTTACTTTGGAACACCAGGCTGGAGAAAAAGGCAAACCTCACGTCTCTGGCTGCAGAGTTAAGAGAGCGAAATTAAATATTTCTGAAGAAAATTTGTCTCCGGGCTGCGCAGTGGTTAGAGCTGTTCCCTTGCAGCGAGAAGGTCCTGGGTTCACTTCCCAGCCTGGGATCTTTCTGCATGGAGTTTGCATGTTCTCCCTGTGCATGCGTGGGTTCTCTCCGGGTACTCCGGCTTCCTCCCACAGTCCAAAAACATGACTGTTAGGTTAATTGGTCTGTCTACATTGTCCTTAGGTGTGTGTGTGTGTGTGCATGATTGTGTGTCTCTGTGTTGCCCTGCAATGGACTGGCTCTCTGTCCAGGGTGTACCCCGCCTGCTGCCTGTTGACCGCTGGAGATAGGCACCAGCCCCCCCGCGACCCTACGTGGACAAGCAGGTTCAGAAAATGGATGGATGGATAGAAAATTTGTCTCCTTGCAAACTTGTCCTGACTTGTGCAGAACAGGAGCATCTTTCTCCTGATCAGTAGACTGGTAAGACCAGCAGGTAGGCATTCCTCCCCAGGTTTATGAAGATCCATCCATCCATCCATCCATCCATCCATCCATCCATCCATCCATCCATCCCCACAACACATTACATACATAAAACTGCTGAATCCTATTCTAGGTGACATGTACAGAATAAACTCGAAATGTTTTTATTTTTTGTAAAAGTTCATTTATAGACTCATTTCATGCAAAGCAAGATGTTTCAAGCCTTCATTTGAATGAGCCATTTTAACTGAAGATGTAGTTATTGGTTTTGACACTAGATGGAGGCAAACCCACCGATCTTTTGAACAAGTCACTGTCTCCACCTCTATTTAATCATGGTGCAAAATGGGCACAGGTGTGTTGGATGGAGACAGGGGCAAACAGTTTTGGACCGTGCTGAAGCAGGTTAGATTATGTTGGAGCTTACAGAAAGAACTGATTGACTATGGGAACAAATGTCAGATGGAGCTGTAAGAAAATAAAAGAACAACATTTTATTTCACCCCACGAGTCAACTGGTCTGTCCTCTTCCATCACCTGTGGTGGATGGGTTTCGTTTGGAGAAACTTTGGCCCCACAGTTATCATTTAGATGATTACGGCTTACAGTTTATGAAAACCCTAAATTCAAAATCCCAGATAATTAGAGTATTGTGGAAAGGTTCAATATTCCAGACCAGGGGTATTTAATTCTGCTGATGTTTCTCTGCTCCAACACACTTGATTCAGGGGTTGGATCACCTGTGCAGCAGCTCATCAGGTGCTGCAGAAGCCTGTTAATCACCTGCTGATTGAAGTCAGGTGTGTTGAACAGTTCAGGCTAATCAGCTAGTTAATCCAAAACACATGCAAAGGGTTCCCGAGCCTCTGTTCTCTCTAAGTTGAATTATTTCATAAATGGAGTTTTGCACTTTAATTTTTCCAGTTTCACCTATAGAGGAAGTCCGGCGACACCTGAGCAGGTAGCCTGTCCCTCACAGGGACACACAGACATAAGCGCATGTACAGTCTTCATGAACTTCCCTGTAAGTGAAATCCTGGTGGCTGCAGCATACGGCGCTCTAAAATCTGAATGTGCCTTTCTGCATCAAGGCTGTAATTACAGAAGTGTAAATGACTTTTTCTCAAACCCAATACTACCTCATATCACCATCATGATGACTGCTGCTGATGGAGATCACGGCTGTCACTTTAATGTTTGATTCAGAGGATACAGTGTCTCCGTGATGCATCTTTCAACAATATCCATTCCCACTGCATGAAGCTCCGTCCCAGACACCTCAGGGCCCAGAAGAATCAACGCAGCCTCTGGAGAAGTAAAGCTTCCTCGTTTAGAGGGATGTTTAAGGGGAGAGTTTTTGCACATATCTCAATACGCAATCCTCATCCCAAGTTGTAACATGGACTAAGAAACACAAATGCTTAGAGAAATGCCCTCACGAACCCTTCCATCCTTAAAGTCTGTGGCAGGAGAAATATGCAAATGCTTTCCAAACAGTTTTTTTTTAGGAAACATGTTTAAAGATTTTAAGGGTTTTCTCAGTGTCCTCTATTTGCTGCTGTTACGTCCTCTATTGGTGGATAAGGAGGAGGACAGGGAGTTTCAGGCATGCGTTTCAGGTGGTAAAATGGTAAACAATGATTTTATTAAAGGATTTTAAAATGACAAAAAGCTCCAAATCCAAAAGTACTAAAAACACTGTTAAAATGGCCAAGAGTTTACGTTGAAAACAGACATCCGAACGCTCCCAAACATTCACACACAAAGTCCACTGACTTAAACACAAGTTTGGGAGCCAAGAGGAAACCAGCACTCTGGTCCTTCATCTGTTAAAAACCTCTAAAATTTGTTAAGCTTTACCAAGCTTAAACAACTAAAACCCATTTAAAAGCCATTAAAACACAAACAAATGGCACACATGAGAGAACTGGCACAGATCCAGTCTCTTCTTCCACCTGGCAGCTCTCCCTCCCTGCTCAGGAGGTGATCAGCCCAAGTGAGTGCAGCTGTGCAGGTAGGAGGAGGAGGCAAAGCGCTGGCTGTCCTCTGCAGCGTCAGTTTTCTGGGACACCAGCAACAGCTGTAACAGCTGCATAAAATAATCTTTGATTAAAATTGAATAATGCACTCTTACAATATTATGATCAAAGTAAAGTAACCAGTTGGTATTACCAGTTAAATAAATAAATATGATACCTTATTAATAGTCCTGGCTTGTATCAGTTCCAACAGATTTTATACATGTTTTAGGTCAGCTTTAAAATATACTATAATAATAATAATACTTATTATTATTATTATTTTAATTATTATTATTATTATTACAGCTATTATTAAAATAGCTTTGTGTGCTACTTCCTGGATGCACATACTGCAGGTGCAATATAATAATCAATGTGAGCAAATAGGACATTTGATTGGTTAAATGTAACATGAGATTATATAATGCTAGGGAACATAAAGAGCTAAAATCAGCCTTGTGGAGTACAGTCCTCGACCCACGCAGAGCCAACAGCAGAACACATCTGTCAGGCTTCAACTGCAGCCCGACAGCTTGTGGTCTCTAATTTATGGAGCGTCGCCCTGAATGGAAACAGGGAAAGAAGGAGTGGGAGAGGGGACAAGGTTTGTGGTTCTTTGTTTTTATCAGCCTGCTGCACAGACAGGAAACACATGCACCAAACACACAAATGAATCTTTGTTTGACACACACACACACACACACACACACACACACACACACACACACACACACACACACACACACACACACACACACACACACACACACACACACACACACACACACACACACACACACACACACGGTAATTTTCAGTTGCAAAGTGGTTCTTTTTTCAAAATAAAAAAAACACACAAACAGAAAAATGTCCCCGGAATATTAAAATAAATCCCATCCCTCCACCTGGACGTCATCTGACTGAAGCTGATTATGTAACTTTTTATTCACTCTTTAATCCGTGCATATCAAACTCTGTGTTTCCACCGTGTTTTCAGCCAAACTCCCAGACCTGCCGGCCTTCGCTCTTTTTACCGAGCTAAAAGGGGAACTTCAGGAACGAGTCGGTTGATATTTAAAACGGCGGCCCCGAGATAAATTACTTCTCAAAAAGCCCGTGTTTATTTGGACAGGCAGGTTGTCTTTGCTGCAGAAAAAAATGCACAGGCCTGTTTTACTGTATTCACCCGAGTGTTAACTAACCATTAACTTTTACAATCACGGCTAAGTGAGGCTGTGTTTATAGTAGATAGGTAAATTAGGCGTTTGAGTGGTGATGACTTTTACCATTTCTAATTTGATTTCAGATCTGCAGTGAGCCCAAGACAATTGTTGAGTGCAAACTACAGCATTTGGTGCTAAAATCCAGAAAAAGTCACATATTTGTGTAGATTTTCCATTACTTTGTTGCACAGTTTAGATTTAAAGACACAGGTATTGTTTAGAATAAAAAGTCGTTTATTTAGTGCACCAACTTTGGGAAAAATAAAGTGAAGATTTGGTTATACAAATATGTGTAAAACAAAAGCAATAATTTGTTTTCATTACAAGAACACAAAATAATGCAGAATCACATCTATAGGTGGAAATAAAGTACCTAACTGTGCAGCCCTGATCATATTGTGCATGTTTGATATTTATCACGCGCCCAGTATGCAAATTCTGGGGTCAGGCAGAAAATTGGTGGTATTCCTGGCTTGAGTGTGCAGTAAAAGAGCTTTTTGTTGTTTGCAGATTGTAATCTTAACAATACAAGGGAGAGGGATGCTCAGATCTGATCTCTGCTTCCAGGAAAGAAGAAGTGTACGGCATTAACGCATTTAAATCAACTGGCCTCTCCGTCTAATCATGTGGTTGTTTCAGGAACAGGTACACTCCAGGTCTGCGTCATACATATATATGTACCTGTGCAACATGTGCACCTGCACAAGAGTGGCATCAGTCACTTTGTTGGGACAGAAATGGCCTCAAGTGAGGGGAACACATTTAAGATGGTGAGTTATTAGGATGCTTCAGAGTCATCTGTAATTGAAGCAAACTTTTACGCACATCTGGCATTTTTTCCTTTTTCTGTTGCAGACGTCTTTGGACCATGACATCAACCAACACTTTCAGGATGCAATAGATGTGATTCAGCAGCATTCCTACTGTGATCCAGGTACTTTGTTCATCTCTGCTGTGTTCTTTTGCTTTTTAAGTATCTGGTTGATCATTTTTGATGGATTTCTTTCAGATTACAAATATTATGAGACCCTGGTTAGCCCGCAGTCACCTTCCCAGTGTCAGATCTCCTGCTGCTTTGTTACACACCCGTCTGACATGCCGGTTCCAGCGTATGACTGGAGCGACACGCCTGTAAGTACTGAAAACAATCTACATTCATAAGACTGAGAGACTAAAGCAGGTCCTGCATGTTTTAGTTGTTTCCCTGCTCCAGCTTGCCTGATTCAATGATTGAATCCACTCCTCAGCAGCTCTGATTCAAAGGGATTTATAGATGTTTTATTTAAATCTTCAACGTTTCAGTACCAGTCCTGGCCTCAGGTCATGCCTGATGCCTCTCTAAGCCACTCGGTGCAAAATGAACCCTCACATTTCTACTCCATCTTACCACCGTCAAGGAGCAGCAAAGGTGAAAATGTTTGGAATTTCAGAAAAATGTAAAAAGTTTCTGTGCACACGTTGCTAAATGATCATTTCATCCTTCTGCTCAGGTCGTAAGAAGCTCAGGCTTTACGAGTACCTCCACGAGGCTCTGAACGACCCCAGCATGGGTGACTCCATACAGTGGACGGACAGCGGCAGCGGCATCTTCCACTTCATCTCCAAAAACAAGGAGAAGCTGGCCGAGTGCTGGGGACAGCGCAAAGGAAACCGCAAGACCATGACCTATCAGAAGATGGCAAGAGCTCTGAGAAACTACAGCCGCACAGGTGAGATTGTCAAAGTGCGCCGCAAACTCACCTACCAGTTCAACCCAGACATCCTGAACCGGCTGGGCTCTGCACAGGTGCCAGTGCACCTGCCCTGCCAGCCCAAGCAAGAAGAAGTCCACAGCCAGCAGGAGCACCCATCTGAACAGAGCTACTGCGGCTCTGCAACTGCAGACTGGCCCGGTTGGTACTACGGACACTATCAGCTGCAGGAAGACTACGACCTGGCCTCAAGCTTTGCCTCACACAATTCAACCAAACTCTAAAATATCGAGCTCAAAGGTTCAGAGTGAAACGTTTTTTTCACTTTTCTCAAGCCTTCAGAACAATCCTGCCAATTCTAACTTATTCTACTGTTAATTATTAAAGAATAAAGTCGCAGCGATGTCCACCAGCCTCAGCAGTTTCTGTAAATAATCTGTAGATATGATCATGAAGGATGTGTACATTTAAGTAAAAGCTTCATGCATCTTAAACTGTTACTGTTACTCACTAAATGGGCGAATCTCGTTTTGTCCGTTTGTGAGCAAATTCAACACTTTCAAATGAAGAAGCATCAAATCTTTTCATCTTTAGTTTAATTCTTACATTTATGAGATATTTCTCACAAGTCATGTTCTGGCCTCACAGAGGACACTTTGATTTTCATGGACTGGAAAACCTGCATTGTGTTGTTTACAGGCTGACCTTTGCGAAACGTTTTTGACCTTTTCAAAAAATGCGATTCAACATCTTGTGACTCAACAGGTGATCAAATGCATTAATGAACCCTAAAAACAAAACATCTACAAAAATACGTCTTTTGATCTAAATATAATTTTCATTTTTAAGAGGATTAACACAAAAAATCTTAAAAATTTGAGCTGAATGATCATAAATATGCAGCACTTTTGTTCAATTCAATTCAAAAATACTTTATTAATCCCAGGGGGAAATTTTTTGTTGTTCATAAATTAAGATTTGATAGAGAAACTAGTTGTTTTAATGTTCTTTTACAGAAAAAGCACAAATGTTTTGGTGTTTAAGTGCGGAGAAAACAAAAGCCATGTATTTACCATGTATATATGATTTTTGTGTCTAAATAAATGTTTGCTATTCATTTTTAAATTTGTCATGAAGTCTTTTAAACACGTTTTTCAGCGCTGCTGCTACATTTCTTTATCTTCCTTAGAAGGGTTGTGCTAACACACTTGGCAGTCACCCTTCTGCAATAAAGTATGACAACAGGCCCACAAAATATGAAATTAAGACACATCCTGAGAGGAAAAACATGCCAGCAAGTGTGTTTTTCCTGAAAAGAAAGCTCTGTGCAGAAGCTGTCTCCAGTTTGGTCTTATCTGCCTCAGCGGGGAGGATGTGGTCAGTACTGGGAGATTTTGTTGATGGGTTAACTGGTGCTGGGGCTTTGTGGGATTGGTGGTCATTGTTCCAGACAGCTCAGGGTGCAGAAAACGTTTAGCGACACACAGAAAACCCACTCCCATGGGGGGTATAAGAAGAGTCCGAGGACTCGGAGTCAGTCGTGAAATTCTCCCAAACTACAAGGACCACACTGCATCAGACGCACGCCAGAGATGGTAAAGAGCAGACCTGCATCTCTTTAAATATCTCCACAAACGAGTTGATTTTTAACTATTTCTCTTTGTCAGAATTCCTTCCAGGACAGCCAGTCTGATTTGGAAGTGATCTTAGAGTTCTTAGAGGAATACTACAGACAAAACACCACCGAAAATGCTGGTAAGAGGAACCAACGGGTCATTTGATTCTTGTATGCAACTGAAGTGTAGTCTTTCAGGAGGTTCTCCTTTTCTCCAGCAACTGTGCCTGTGCACGAAAGACCTGTAGATGGGAGTCAACCATGTGAGCAGTGCTGGACCTGCTTCGAGCCATCTGTAAGAACACGAGCGCACAACTTTGCGCACTTCTGGTGTATTTTCAGCCTGACACTGTGCTTTTTACCTTCTCCCACGTCCAAGGACATCAAACCTATTTTTCACACCTCCTTGGCACACAATGTCCAACCAGAGTCCGGTCAAAACACAAAAGCAACGTTGTCACAGGAAAACTTTGCATCAACAAGGCACCCAGCAGCAGAGAGAGGTGAGTTCTCCTTTTTATTGGTCATCAAATACTGTTATTGTCACAGCTGTGATTAGCCTGGGGGAAATAATACCAAGAGGGTAAATAAGAGACCTGCCCTTTACTGTAAAACACAATGGAGCTGTGCGTGGCTTGGCGCAGGAGCTTATTTACATAGCTATCTGATAACCGCAGCGTTTGTCACGCACTAAAGATCCCCCATCACTGAAGAGATTTTTCTGGGAATTGCTGGAATTGAGGAAATAATTAACTGTAACCAGCAGCAGCTTCTTTAGCACGTCTAGTGTAAACATTCCTTTAAAAGTCTCTTTCATCGTGCGTTCCAGTCACAGCTCGCTCCACGCCTCCAGGCAGAAGGCTGCGACTCTTTCACTTCCTGTTTGAGATGCTGGAGGACCCGAGCATGGCCCACTGCCTGTCCTGGATGCCGGCGGCAGCGGCGGATGGCGTTTTCTGCTTCTCCTCCAGGAACAAGGAGCAGGTGGCGATACTCTGGGGACAGATGAAGGGCAACAAGAGGCCCATGACCTACCAGAAGATGTCCCGAGCTCTCAGGAACTACGCTCGGTCTGGACACATCTTCAAGGTGAAGAGAAAGCTCACCTACCAGTTCAGCCGGGACACCTTGATCTCGCTGCAGGAGATTCATGGGAGACATTTGTAAAATTTATGGAGCTTGTTTCGTCTTTATACTTTGCTTCTTTAAAACTTGTGATGTCATAGAAATAAAGATATTTACTCTTTCTTAAACACAGGAGGGTGTAGGAAAGCAGCTCACCTACACACACACACACACACATTAGGGATGTTCATTATTATTGGTCTATGATAAATATGTCGGCATTAAAATGTAATATCAGAAAATAACGGTGCCGATTCATCATTTATTTACCCATCTTTTACACGCCATACACATATTATACACAAAACTCTTCAGCTGCTTCTCTTCTTTCTCAAAATGCCAAACAGTTACACATCTAAGGTAACGTTTGTGAGATATTTTAGAGTATTTGGCACAAATTGTGAGGTGGAACTTAGCTCTGTGCAGTGACAACTGACTAAAACAAAAACAAGAATCTTCACCTGAAGTCATTTTGCAAAGAAAATATTTAAAATGTTAGCATGCATGATAGGAGGAATGGGATGTTAGTAACCTAACATGTTTCAGTTTTTCTTTCATGAGAGGGGGACAGCAAATTAGCAAATCTGTCTGTCTGTCTGTCTCTGTGTGTGTGTGTGTGTGTGTGTGTGTGTGTGTGTGTGTGTGTGTGTGTGTGTGTGTGTGTGTGTGTGTGTGTGTGTGTGTGTGTGTGTGTGTGTGTGTGTGTGCATATATAAATTTACAAACTACCCTCCCACCCCATTAAATAATAACATCATAAATTTAATCACAAAGCTTGCTGTTACAGTTTTTCTCAGTCGCTTTGGTGCGTTTCTCAGAACACTATTAACATTTGCACAGCAGTTTGTGCATTTCTCAAAACAATTAGTGCAAACTGCAAAACCTAGTGGATAGCCTGCAAAAGCACGTCACATGCTCAAAATTGATAATCCATTCCTCAAAAGCAAGTATTCATGTCAATGAAACTGTCAGTGCCATCAAAATGAAAAGTCTTGACACCATCTTTATGAACAAGATAGTCAAATGGCTTTGTCATGTTTTCACCATGACAGGTTATAATTCCAGTGTTTTCCATTGCAAGAATATTTGGTGACACCAGAAAATGCTCAAGACAGCACTATGCCCTACTGGTACAGCCATTTGAAATGTGCAGTAAAGTTACTGTAGAGGTTATGGGAGTTTTGGGAGTAACTGAGACACTGAATACGTACGTTTTACATTTTTACTGTATAGAAGTGTTTGTAATTCTACAGCATTGTGCAAAAGAAAAATATGCTACAGTCACTTGTTTACTGTAGAATACATGTAAACATAAAATCACCCTTTTGGTAGAGCTGTGCACAAATGTGAACAATATACAGTACATGTAACAGTACATAGTGTTGCACAGTACTGTAACATACAGGTACAGTAAATCATTCTGGCACATCCAGACGTTCCTGTCTGTCTGTCTGGCCACATATTTTCATCTACATCACAGCAGATGTCATCCTTCGCAATGCAGCGAGGAAAGTATCTCCTGGAGTGGAGAAGTATACAGAAGTATAGAAATGGTACACACTAGCTCCTGCTCAGTTCATATATGCTTGCCAATTGAGGATTCACCTCCTCATGAGTGACAGATGAAATTCACCTGTTATCAATTGTTCAATTTAGGAGACATTTCCAGAATAAAATGATAAAGAAAGGTATAGAATTTGCTTGACAGATGACTGATATTTGACATTTGATAACTAGTTCAACAATTTTGTGTGTAATGACTCAAGCAATGAAAGTACGACTATTAGTTTAATTGAGCGTGACTATTCAGCATCCATAAGTATAATTAATTTTGACTGACATGACATAAGCAAATGGAAATGTCAAAAAACAGCAGAGAAATGTATGAAAGCAACTGATACATGTCCAAAATCATTTGCAGTTTGTTCAGAGAAAGGAGAAATTGCTACTATGATGTGCACAAATGACTAAATGTTGTGGAGGTTGAACTAATAGTTATGAGAATTTTAATTCTGATCTGAGAAACGCACCAAAGCGACTGAGAAAAACTGTAACATGTATTTATGGTGTTACAAAAAGAACGTTTTTGTTGTTTTGTAAACCTTTAGACTTCTGTTACACACAAGAAAATTAAATCTCAAGCAAAGCTAAATAAAACAAAATAAATGTAACAACCTGGACCAAAGGCGTTCACTCTTGGGGTCACTATCCAGCATGCTGCAGCACACCTGATTCAATGGCTGACTTACCTGTTCATGTCATCAGCCTGTTTCATCATTCACTGATTAAGATCAGGTGTGTTTAAACAGAGGAACCCCTAAACATACTTGGTAGGGACCCTGGACGTGTGATTTTGATATTAAAATAAAAAAAAGCTTTGGTTTGTTGCTTCTTCACACAGAAACAGCAGGTTCTGCTCGGTGGCCTGACCTGCCCTCGACCTGCTGACGAGTGCTTCGAAAACCAGAGGGTGTCAGTGTTCTCCTTCTCGAAGCTCCTCCTGGAGTTTCCTCTCTGTGCTGTGATCTAATGGCTAAACCTCCGCTGTGATGTCAGCTCACTGGTGTCTCGGGCAGCACCAAATGGTTTAGTGCTCCACGTGACATTTCCCTAAGCCCGGAGCCCACTTCTGGATATAAATGGGCTGAAGTGGGGGGAAGGGGGTGACCAAAAAAAGCAACAAAACAACACAGACAATTGTTTTGGAAGGGGTCTCCTTATGAACAGCCTTAATGAAATACATGTCTGACTTAACTGAACCGTTGGCTATTACTGGTATTCTTTTAAAATGACCAGTTAAGACTGTTGTTGCTCCAACAGCAGCCAGCATCTTCACCCTCATTGGTTTCTCATCAAAGAGCTGAAATTTGACTAAAATAGCCTCTTAATTCTTAATAAATCCAAATTTATTTGAGATGCGCGAGTCAAATGTCAAGGTTTATGACAGCTGTCTATGTATAGGTCCTTTAGCCTCCATTTGCCAGTTTGATAAGCCTGCTGTTCTTGGGCAGCATTACCAATGGATTAAATCCATCAGGAATAGACATCAGTTCCTCACATCAAACTTTTCTTTAAGGAGGAAAAACAGCTCAAGTACTGTGTGAGTTTGTGCTGCCAATCACTTGAGAGTAACCACAGAAGAGCATTGCATCATCCTCAGACCTGCGGCAACGACAACACATTCTCCGTTTATATCCCATTCTCCGGATTTGGCATCCAGTGAGAGGATGTTTTTCTAAAGAACACGAGTTTTATTTTTTATTTGCTGCTGGAGTTGCTGTTGTTTCATAAAGAACAGTGGAAGGGTCTCCTTTAACAAGTGTGATTGTGATGGTCAGCCATTTTTAAGGTTTACTTTAAAAACTAATTTGGAAAAGCAAAAGAAAGGTTTCAGTCTTGATTTAGAATCTGAAATGGGATTTCAAAAGTACAAACTGCCTTCAGCTCCCTGGGCGTTTCCAGTTCTTTGATATTTGTTTCACCGCTAAAACACAAACCAGCAAATTTTGTATTGTGCAGACTGATGGATGAATTGATGATGTAATTTTTTACACAGAGCTCCACCACAGAGAGGAGGAGGAGGAGGAGCATGCCACCTCTCAAATAAAAGCCCTAAAGCTCAGTCCCCCCCTGGATCTGTCACTGGTCCACCTCTGTTCCCCAACTCAGATTCCCAAACCTTGCATCCTCCTCAGCTTCACTCATCGCGGTGCGAGGGATCCAAGATTTGTTTTTCCAGCTGCATCTCTGTCCCTCTTGGACTGAGAGGGCTCTAGACGCCTTCAAGTCGCACTGCTCTGACCACATCTACCCCGCTCCTTCTGAATCCCTGACAGTTTTCTTGCCTTGCGGCTCAAGATGCCAGAGCCCACAAAGAAAGGTAGGAGACTTGGTTGACTCATGAGGAGATTTCAAAGTATGCAAAAAAAAAAAAAAAAAAAGAAAGAAAGAGCAAAATATACTCTGATAGTATTTACTCATTTGTAAGAACAAAGAAGATTTTATAGAAAGTGAGGATGTGTGATCTCCTACGAATGGAGACTTTATTGCTGTTAATACGTCGTTGATTGAAGGGAGCAGAGCCAGTTGCTCCTGGCTGCAGGGAGATCCATCACTTTGGGACTCGCCTGCCAGCTTTTACATAGGAATCCTCAAAGTGACTTTGACAGTGGTATTGTATTACTGAACCATGCGCGTCTCTGCCATCTTGGGTACAAGAAAAGATTGGAGGTCTACGGATGGACGGTATTGTTACTTGAGGGGTTTGCACATCAGATAGATCCAGCCGGAGAAAGACGCGATGATGAGGAGGAGGCATGCCGATGAGGGCTGAGCCGCAGAAAGGACGATGCAGTTAGGAAGACGCCAAGCAGGGATGAAACTCCTAAATGCTTCTGTGGTGTCTAATATGGTCCAGAGAGCTGTCTCGTACCGGGCCAAAACTCGAGTCAAAATTCAGCCATCCTCAGCATCTTTGACCCTGCCCTCTTGTTGAACCTTTCTAATATTGCTCACCTGCACAATCACGTCCATCACCGCTCTGCTTTAATCCACCTGTGTCTGTCAGTACAATATGGTGTTATGCCTGGCCTCCTCGTCAGATCAGCTGTTATCCACTCGGGCGTGACCATGTAGAGCAAACAGAATGTATTGTTTGGTCTTTGGAGGGGAGGAGGCAGCTCCTGACACAGATACGTCTGTGTGTCCTAGAGTAGGGTTATTTGAGCCCTTAACATTTTAATGCACTATAAAATGTCTTCATCCTCTCCTTGAGTCATTTCACAAAATCTTGTTCATGAACCAGATTACAGTACAAGTACAGGCACCCTAATGGTGCTCATCCACTGCCATAAACATCCCGACCCACCCCGGAGACAAAGCTACAGCAAAAAAGGACACTTCCCATAAATAGCTACCAAACCAACAGATAAATGAGTGGGAAAGTATTGTTCTTTAAATGAGTCTGAACAGCTGAAGGAGAAGAGGGCGGAGGTAGTGTTGCTGCTGTTTTGGACATCCTCCTCTCCAACTAGAAATGATGGGCTCACTCAGTCGTCTGCCGGTCTTTTGGGAATTGGATTCTTGTCCCTGGAATAGTTCAGAATGAGCAGACTTTTAATCCCTGTGCCTTGTTCTCTGCCATCTCCCTCCATCACTGCCCAATCCCTCCTCCTCTTCCTTCTTGCTCACCAAAACAGACACCTCCCTGCCACTTTCCATTCAGGATGGATCGCTTAGAGGTCAGGCGCCGCCCTATTAAACGTCTGCCCCTTGTACCCACAGGGCTCACAGGGTTGTTCTCACTGTTAACAACTTCTGAGCGCCAGCAGACGACTGACTTGTGTCCTCAACTCCACGTTCTATCACTCTCCCTGCACGCTGTCCTCTGAAAATGTTGTTGCATGTTGATGGATAGCACGTCATGAATAAAACTTGTCTTAAAAGAATGAAGATCTGTCAGCAGCTAATTGTCACCCCAGAACACTTTTGTTCTATTTATAGGCACAAAATGCCACAAACAACATCACAAGACAAAGGAAAAACATCAAAGCCATCAGGTTATCTTTGGTTGCATCGTAAGGGTTTATATAAGGTAAAAAAAAAGGGGGGTGCCGGCAGTTTGGCTCTCATTTGAGCCTCTGTGAGCCTTTCTGTCTGCGTGCCAGCAGGGCCAACAGCTGCAAATACCTGTCACCCAGTCAGCTGCACTGGAATCCTCAGAGGTAAAACAAAACCTTTCTCCACTCTCATTATCTCGACGGTGATGAGACAGCGAGCGGACGTGGCTCGCTCTCGGGTAGATGATGTGACCCTGCAGGATTGTGGTCCGGTGGCCAGCAGCACATTGTTTTCAAGTGAGGTGGGAGGGAAGCTAATTTTGAAAAGGATTTTTAACGGGAATCGTTGCAAACGGATGCTTACAGAAGATAGAATATCCTTTAATAAAAGAATGACATTTGTTGATAGCCCGTTGTAGAATTAATTAGCAGTGTTCAGAATGATGAAAGTCTGAAACTCTGCATGAAGAAAGAGAGATTATTTCACCTCCTGAAAGCCTGCTTCTATAGGAGGATCTTGGCTTTTGGAATTATAATACTTTATTCTGTCCAACCTTCCTGACCACTTCCAATTCTCACACCTGACTTTAGTTTTTATCAATTTTAGGAAAACACATTTTTGAGCAACTACTTGAAAAATGTTTTTTTTTTATAATGTGATGCCATTTCAAACACAAACCTCAAAAATGTAAAAATCAGTTGGTGGGTAGGGGAGGGGCTGCATTATGGAAAAGGAAACTAGGGTCTAAAAACTTAATATTAAATAAGTCTGGAAAAATAAAAACAATTTCCATCGTAATAAAACTTTGCCTGAAGAAGTAAAGAAAACAATATTTTATATAGTGCCTCTGAATATAAAAATCACGAGGTGCTTCATGAGAAGAAAAAATATTAAATGCAGAAAAAAATTACAAAAGAAATATATATATATATATATTGTTAAAAAGAGAAAAGAAAAAAATTCAACATTTTGATAAAAAATAACATAAAACAAGTTGTTCATCACATTTTTCTCCTTTTCTGTTCATTCAGATCTTCCTAATGCTCACTGAAAAGAAAACATGATCTGATTTATGATCTAAAGTTGAAAATGTTGTCTCCAGCTGCGCCGCATCAGAGATAATATCATCCAAGTTACTAAAATAATTATTTCCTCAGTTTGCTCTAAATGAAGAAGGCATTTTCATTCCTGCGCAGATCCTCTGAGCGCGACCCGATCCAGTTTCTAATTCCTTTGTCCTGAGCTCAGAGTTGGTTTGGGGCAACAAGCAATGTCAGGTCAGATTACATTTGTTAAGGTCAGGCCCGGATGTAGGCATGGGCAAGGAGGGGCAATGCCCCCCTAAAAATAGCGACTGCCCCCCCAAATGCGATGACATGTAGAAATTCCAAATTTGAAAAGATTTGATGAAAAAGGGTCAGAGTGCTCTCCTCTCTCTCGCTCATTCAAAGTAGCTCCTGATTGGTAGATGCATAGGGAGGGTGTGGCCAGCCACTGCACTTCGTTCTCTGTCGTCTCACTCACTTCACACGCTCCCAGACAGTCAGCAGCAAAACACAGAGATGCACTGTTGTTATTTGAGCTCAGTCGCTGGTAGAAGTTTTCTTCTGCTGTCGGTCACTGGAATAATTTGGTTACTCTTTCTCAAGGTTTTAGTTTGCCTCGTTCTCTTCTTTCATTTGTTTTTGAAGTGAACCGAGTCGACATGCGCAGATTTCTGCTTTCTAAACCTAGCATCAGTGCTAAGGCACTAGCGGCAGAAGCTGGCTCGTCGGTGCTTCTCAACTTGCTACAACCCCCCGTGTCCAGGGCAGTACTGGAACAACCAGTTGCACAAGCACCACAGCCCCTCCTGCTGTCCCCGTCGCTACCAACCTAGCCGTCGCTGTGGGTGACACAGCCCGCACCGTCCCAACCCACCCAAGTGCCATTTTGGGAAGAACATGCACTCATTTTGCCCTGCCTGGTATTGTGGGAGACCATGGCTGGAACATTCAGTAAAGCTGGATGCGTGCTTTTGTTTCCCATGTTGCAAATTTGGGGGGGAACAATGATAGGGATTTGGCTTTCACAAAACAGGGATTTAATAATTGGAAAACAGCACTGGAAAAGGACAAGGGATTCACAAAGCATGCATCAAGTCAATGCCACATAAAAAATGAAAAAGCCTGGTCTGAAATGTCCCAAAGAGTGGCCACAGGGGAAACAATGGCGTCAGCAGTACGACAAACTAGTCTTTGGATTGTCTCCAGGTAAAAAGCGACAGGTGGTTCACAGCGTCAGATGGGCCCCCTTTGGGTCAGTGAGTTCAGCTTTTATTCTGAAAGCAACCATTGCTTGGTTGGTAAAATGCAACAAATTTTATCCAGCTTGTTGGTTCTTTGCTTAAAAAAGGGAAGTCCGGATGGCCGGTCCGATACTTCGCTTAGCATGCGGTGAACTCCAGTGAGATCTTGAGAACTGAACTTAAGATGGCGTTGGAACTGGTTTTATTAATCTGGATGTTTTGATTTCTGGTCGAATCAAAGTTGGACAGATATATAAACACCACAGAGACTATGCCACGCTTCAGAAAGGATGGTTCAGATTGGATCAGTAAAAGCAATGTGTCATGCGTTTACATTACATGTAGTCAGCATGTCTAGTGCAGCTAGATTAAAGTCATATTACTTATTAAAGCATATTAATCACAACATTGTTATTTCGCAGATCGGTCAACATCTTATTATTGACTAACACTTTGTTTGATTAGCTTAATTAAAAATAGAGTTCTTTGATTTATTAAAAGGAAAGAGTCCTTTCTTCAATCTTCTCTTGAGCTGGAAAGAAAACAGTTTTAGAGGTGAATGCATGACCTTGAGGCGGTCTCATGCAGCTTAGTACTGTGTCAGAGGCGTCTATGGAGAGAAGGTTAATAACCTTTGGTGGAATGGCACCTCCGTCACGTTACATTAATAAGTCCCACACAAATTGAGAAAAACAGATACTACGTAAAACTATTGGAGAAGTAGTTAAGTTCCTAGCACTAAATGAACTGCCACTTTGTGGCGGTGTGGAAAGCGATGATGATTTCTCTGCAGAACTGTTCTTAAAAATGGTTGACTACACACGGTCAAAGACGCCAAATTTAATGAAATAAACAAACACATCCCAGAAAATGCAAAATACACATCTCACAACATACAAAACTAAATTATTGCAACACTGGCAAAAATGGTATTAAAAAGATCAAAGATAATTATGACAAAGCAGATTATGCTGGGTTTTGCATCAATAGTGATGGAACTAGGGACAGATGTGGAGAATCAGTCAGTCATGGTT